CCCATCCCTAAGCTGAGACAACACCGCACCGATGCTTTCCCCGCTAGCATCAGTGTCTAGGATGAAGTCTTCCTCGGGAATAGGGTACGCCAAGACTGGAGCTGTCTGAAGCTTACTCTTATTCTCTTCACATTCACCCTGGCATGCTTCACTCCATTCAAACTCCCTCGACTTTTCAGTCAAGGCATGCAGAGGACTGGCTGTCTCCGCAAAGCCTCGAATGTACTTTCTGTAGTAGGACGCGAGGTCGAAAAAGCTTCTCACGTCCCGTACACATTTTGGCACTGGCCACTCTGCTACTGCTCTCCTTTTCTATGGATCTGTGGCCACTCCCTCTGCGAACACGATGTGCCCTAGGTAGCCAACTGATTTCTGGAATAAGTGGCACTTGCTAGGCTTTAACTTAAGCCCTGCTCGCCTCAATCTTTCCAGCACTACTCTCAGATGCTGTATTGTCTCCTTCTCTGTCTCACCGAAGACAATTATGTCATCTAAGTATACCAGCAGGATCTCCCATTGTCACCCTGCCATGTCCTCCATGAGTCTCTCGAAAGTCGCCGGCTTATTGCACAAGCCGAAGGGCATGCACTTCCACTTGTACAGGCCATTTCTCACCACGAATGTGGATTTCTGACTGGCTCCTTTTTCCAGTGCAACCTGCCAATACCCTGACGCAGGGTCTAGCGTCGAAAACCACTTGGCCCCTCTCAATGCATCGAACGTTTCATTGATGCGCGGAACCGGGTACGCATCTTTGATGGTGACGGCATTTAACTTTCTGTAGTCTACACAGAACCGCCTCGTCCCATCCTTCTTTGTCACCAGGACAACATTGGCCGCCCACGGACGATCTGAGGGTTCTATGATCCCTCGTCTCTCTCAATATCATGGTCCCCACTCGAGAAGACATCTTGGAAATCAACCAAGCACTTCTCGATGTCATTGTGGTATCTCACCTCCACATTGGTTTTACTCCTCCCATACAAGTCTTGCAAATACTCTGGCAAGCCCTGTCTTACTTCCTCTGACTTGTCCATTTCACTCTGGACTGCCTCAGGTTCCACCGCGGTTACTAGACCTACGATTGTCCCTTTTCTGGCAACTCTCTTGCCTTTTCCTGGGTTAAAAACCCGCAACGGAACTGTCTCGTTCCCTGACTACACCAGTGATCTGGCCAGCACAAGACCTTTCTTGGCCAAATCTCCTCCTCTATCTAGAGGTTCTACTACAGCTGGTCCTTCCAGCCCTTGTTCTCTTCGAGCTATCCTGCCCGGCACCACAGCCTCGTGCCCGGGGGGAATTACTGTGGTCTCTGTTACCACCACCCTTCCCACAAAGGGATCTCCGGCACTGCTGGTGCACCTAACTCTTTCTCCATTTATTCTCCACTCTCGAGTCTGGAAATCCAAGTAACCCCTTGTGAGTAACAGAAAATCCATTCCCAAAATTACCTGACACTTCATCTCGATGAAGACTGCCTTCACTGTGTGCGTGGTCTTACCCACCTGCACATCCACCCAAGCAGTACCTAGTACAGCAAGGGGACTCCCATCAACCTGTCTCACTTGAACCTTGCCTGAGTCCAAGGTTGGTCTCTTTTCTTTGTGGATCTGATAGTAGACTGTACTACTAATTAGTGTGTCTGTGGAACCAGTGTCAATTAAACATCAACACTTGGTTCCTCTCACTTCACACTCTACAAACAGTCCACCTCAGGGACCAGGGTTGGCAGCTTGGCCACCCTCTGATCTCTTCTGTGCTACTGGCCAGTCTTTACGACGCCGCCGCCGTTTCTTGGGTCCTCTGGTGTTCCCAGCCCACCCGCGGACCCCACGGGTGGCTGGTTCCCGTTTCCCTGTTGCTGGAAACTTTTCTTGGTATTCTTACACTCCCTAGCAAAGTGGCCTTTCTCGCCGCATCTAAAGCAGCTCAAGTCACCTTGCTGGTTCTCCGAGGGTTCTTCCTCTTCTGAGGGTCTTCCCAACTTCCATACTCTTTGCCCTGCACCTGCTTTGACAACTTCGTCAACAACTATGTCATATTATTCAGCTCGCCCTCTAGCTTGCTGATGCTCTGCTCAATTCCTGAGTCTACTGCCCTCGCCATGTTGGCGGGTTTACCATCGAGCGTTCTCTGCTGCTCGACACTCTCAAAGTTGTCGGTTTCTAGAGCTGCCTGGATTGCTTCATCCAAATTCTTTGGACGAGCCCGGTTTATGCCTTCTCGCACAGACCGACTTTCCACTGCTTCTAGAAAGTGATTCTTTGCCAACCGGTCACGCGATTCCTCCTGAATATCAGGTTACGTCTTGACCACCGACTCTTGTATGGCTTGACCCAGCTCCTGAAGGGTCTCTTTCGGCTTCTGTCGCCGATGCCTCAGCTCAATGAGGTAGTTCTCACTTTGGCGACCTGAACCAAACCTCCTGTCCAACAACTTCACCAGCTCACTGTATGAGCGCTTTTGGCCAGTGGGTACATCCCGTATTAATCTTAGGCCGTTTCCTTGCAAACTTGCAACCAAATAGGCGGCAGCCTGCTCCTCGTCCCACTGATTCACTTCTCTTCACGACTGAAAGTGCTGGAAATATCCTTTCCACAGCACCTTGCCTGTATATCTGTCGGGGGTGACATTTGGGTCACGGTTTGACCGTTCCCGGGTCCTACCATCTTTTTCACCTACTCTCTCCTCCCTCTTCAAGGGCCATGACCCTGCTGTTGGGGTGTCTTTCTTATCCACCAAGCTGCTGCTGACCGCGTCCATTGGATGGGTTGCAAAGCTTGCTGTGGGTTATCTCCGGAGAAAACTTCTCTGTACTTTGCGGGGTCGGGCTACAACTCTTTGCAACCTGATCTGCCCCACCTGAGCCTGAGAGAAAGGACTCAATCTCCTCTATAGCACTAAACGTGCTTCTTGGCCGGACTACTTTCGAACCAGCCACTCCTTGGGGAGTGCTTTCCCCAAACTCCACTCTCTTCCCAGCCTTGGGAAGTAACTCTGGCGAGCCACCTGTAGCCCCCAGACTACTCGTCTCAAATTGTGAGACATAGCCAGAACTCATCCCCGGCAATCTGAATTCAATCTCTAAATCCACTTGCTTACTCACACGCCCATTCTTCTTGGGTGTGTCTCTACTTCCATCGGTGGAAGTCTTCTGATCATTCATGGCAGCCTCTAATTTTCTTGCCATGAGATCTTTCTCCCACTGCAGGAACTGGGCTTCCAACTTAAGCCTCTGCAGCTCCATCTCCATGCTCGAAGGATTCTGTTTACTCATACTGTTGCACTCTTGTAAACAGCAAAATGTAAACCTTCCTGTTTCTTACAGGGTCTCTAAACCTGGCAACCGTCCGCTGGGTCTTCCTTACACCTTGGACTTACTTGCCGGTACGGGAAATCTCTGCCCCAAACTCGGCAGAACAACTTTGTCTTTATGTTCTGCTTACTACACTGTTAATTTTCAACAGTGCCCAACCTTGCGGATCTGCACAAGCAACTTTACTAACACTTAGTCAACCACAACACTGACCCAATCAACTCCAATCATCCCACTTCTGACACCATTTGTGGCGTAATTATTAGTTTTCCAACGAGCCAGTCTAAGTTTTACCAGTTGAGGAAAGCTATCTGTCGCAATCTGTTTTCCAACCTAAACCTAAACTCTGCCTCAGTCCTCTAACATTGACGAGCAATCCAAAGGCCCAGGGATATGGATTCGTTTTGGTGGAAATGTACCGCGTTGATTGGTAGTTGATGGGTTGACTCTCTTGACTCATACTGAATAAAGAATTACGAGACAAAAGGAATTATTGGCAATTTCAATGGGAACTGATTTAATATCCTTCTCTTCTTATATTGGGAATTATCTTATTTACACAATTGGGTTTCAATTATAGTTATACAATTATAAACTGGCGCCTATATAATCCGCACTCCGCACTCTGCACTCCGCAATCCGCAATCGCAATCGCAATCCACACTCCGCACTCGGGCAACTTCCCTGAAATTACCCAAATATCTTTGGAATGCTACTGACTAATTCCGACTCAAAGTAAAGGGAAATTCAAGGCAACAGCCGGCTCTCTCCCTGTCCAGTTTCTCACCGTGTTTCTGACGGTGACCTTCGGACAATATAGTCGACAACCTAGCCTACAACTTGACCCTATATCTCTCAAAATTACACACTATTTTCTGTTCTTACTAACAGACTCTAAGTGCACATTAAATCGACCACTCTAAGTAAAAGTTGATTCCTACAGGCATGTAAAAAGCACTACACGGCACTGTTTCACCTACACAACTATCACTATGGTACAGCTGTTAGAAACGTACCTGCAAATTACGCATGAACACCGCGGTTGCGCTGTCAAATTCAGCAGATTCTCTCAGCTGGTTCTCCGTACGGACTTGTTGCTTGACCGTCTGCCACGCGACTCGCTCCCTACTCTACAATGCTCTAGTTCGGTCTGCTATGCAACGCAGCTCGCTCACATGGCATGGCGCATGCTAGACAAAACATAAACTTGCACCAGTCTCGCGCAGCTGTCTGCATGCACTTTACCAATGATATTTACGCAAATTATTATAATAAGGTCTGAGCACTAATCAGAAGCTTACCTACGCATGCTCAGCAATCTAAAGAATAATGTCATCATCTAATAAATTAATGAGGCAAGTAGACTTGTATAAGCCATTTCGTTACACTATTACCTAACGAACCAAATACATAAAGAATTTTGCATGTTGCGTTCTTGAGATATGGCTTAAAGGTAAAAAAAAATAAAAATCGTGTACAAAGTCTATGGGATGTTTGGCGACAAATAGAAAGAAAAAAAAATCTGAACAAAAAGAACTTGCTTTTTTGCAAATTTTGTGAAAAAGCCAATGATAAGTTGTTCAACTCACTGCGAATTGATATGGTCGAAGTGAGAGTTGAGGAGCTGAATTGTGTGTTTGATAACATTTTGTTTTGTAATATCAATAACTCCCTTATCATCTAGGTTTGACAATCTGAAAATCCCCCAGCTGCACATTGAAGAGAAGTACGCAGTCATACTACAGCACTATGGCGCTGAGCTGGAAGGCATCAAAAAGGTAAGTTCATTACTTGGCTCTAAGATGTAAAATGTTGATTGAATACTGTAACAGCCAATTTCAACAGCACAGCCAATTTCTCACTTGAGCCAAACAGCGAAGAGATAACTTCTTTTATACAGTTTATTTAGAGTAAGGTGTAGCACAAGCGCAGAAATCTTAACTTTGAAATTAAGAAGCAGACATTGTAACTTTGAAATGCACAACTCTTGATGTGAATTCCCATCATGCAAAAAAGACACCTCTTGTCAACTTGGCTTGAAGATATAAAATGTTGATTGAATACTCTAACAGCCAATTTCTACAGAACAGCCAATTTCTCACTTTGAGCACGACAGTGAAGAGATAACTTCTTTTATACAGTTTATTTAGAGTAAGGTGTAGCACTAGCGCAGAAATCTTAACTTTGAAATTAAGAAGCAGACATCGTAACTTTGAAATGCACAACTCTAGATGTGAATTCCCACCATGCAAAAAAGAAACATCTAGTCATTTTTTTCTTTGACTAATAGAATGAATGTGTGCTTGGGCGGTTTTTAAACACTCTGTTTAAGACTCTGGTTGGAGTCTGGATGCTGATAATTACTCGAGGCGAAGCTGCTGGCCATGTTGTGTCCAAAGGCAAGCCACTCCACCCCGATTTGCCTCTCTCCAACCAGGAGTTTAAATGGCCGCCAGCATTAATTACCTGAGGAGTAACCTGCGATGGACTAGCATCGCATCCAGGAGGAATAGAAATATTCTCAGTCATTTCATGTCACTAAAGCTGGAGATAAGCATCGGCCTGACGGGCCACATGGGCTCGTGACAGACTTCACTTGCTGCTTTACTAGGGGTTACCTGATAATGCATTAAGATGTCTGTCTTTGACTGCACCTTGGCCATGTTCAATTGAGTTCAGACTGCATTTTGCCATCCTCAGTTGTACATGCAGCACAAGGATGATCCACCCATTCCTAGGGACATGCCGCCTGTAGCTGGTAAGATCTCCTGGGCTAGACAGCTCTTCAGACGCATCCAAGAACCCATGGAAACTTTCAAGGTATTGTCAAAAATTCCTCATCCTCAAAAGTTAAAGGGGCACTAGGAACAGAAATCCCCGAAAATGTTATGTTTTGGATTGTTTACATAGCCTATTTCAAACATCTGGTTGAAAGGTTGGTTACCTAATGTCTTACCGTTCCCAAGAAAAGACGAAAAAAACCCACTTGTTTACATCGGACATGACGAAGTACGAATACGCTTTTCGTGTCGTTCTCAGTGTACGATATCACGTTGTGTGTCTCGAGAACAGCGCTCGGTGACTAATCACCAATGCAAAAAAACGTGGTTTCTTCAACGTCCGCAAAAGGCGAACACTTTACAAATGAAATCACAACTAGCATCCAAACAGCTCGAATTTATGGGGTCGCAAAAGTGGACCCCGAAATTTGTTCTCGCATGCATAATACAGGGATAATACAAAAATGCCCTGTTTTGAAAGGATAGTTGTGTGGATGTTTATATCCTACTTTTAAATGTTATTTCCGATTATCATCATCTCATTCAAAGCGCGTTTTGTAGCCCAATTGGGCTGTTCCAGGACCTAGTGTCCCTTTAATTCACTATCCATTCAATATGCAAACAGAAAACAAAGTTTATGCCACAAACATTTGCAGTGAAAAATTCCGTGTTGTAGTTGAGTTATCACAAGTCCTCACACATCACTTACATGTCCTTCAGTTTCAAGTCAAGTCACAAGCTATTCATATTTATTTATTTAATTCTTATTTTAACCGGGTAGCCCATGTGGAATCTCCCATGGGCCCAGTAAAGAGAAGACAATGTGAAGAAATTACAGTTTTTGAGGAGGGGGAAAACCCAGGAGAATATTCTGAGGTAAACCCACGGAATCAGGCAGGGACTGAAAACCCAATCCATATTGGCCCAGGCAGGAATTGAACCTGGGTCACAGTGTCTCTGTTTATATCCTGTTACTTTTGACCGGAGTAGTTATTGACTTGTGAATTGACTATTGATGGACTAAACTAAAACTCCTGAAGAATTCATCCGATGAGTTCACTTTTGTTAACTCCAAGTAAGTTGTTTTATGTGGAGTGCGGTGGCCTTGTGGTCTGGATAAGTATTGAATTCGTGATCTGTGGGTTATTCTGCAGCTTGTGGGTTCGAGTCCAGCCTGGTGTTATGGTGCGTGCGTCCTTAGGCAAGGCACTTTGTCATTCATTGCTTCTCCCCACCCAGGAGTAAATGAATACCTGCAAGGGCAGAGATGGTTATAGTGACTGCTTTGCACCGAAATGGCAGCATCGAGCTGTATACTCCCCAGGGAGCTGAGATGGTCTTTGGAATGTTTCCTTTACCCAGTGCGCAGGGTGATACTGACTCTTGTACAGCGCATTGGGTCCTTGTGTGAAATTCTCTTTATAAGCGTGGTTTATTATAATAATAATAATAATACCGTTCTTATTAAGCGCATTACACACGGAGTCCCAATGCGCTGTACAAATTAAAAGTAGGACAAAAATTAATCAGAATTGAACAAATGGGTTTTGAGGAGGCATTTGAATTGATCCAGACTTTGTGCGTCTTTGATGCTTTGGGGGAGTTTGTTCCAAAGAGTGGATGACGATGTAGAAAAAGCACGCTGGCCGTATGTCCTTGTAGATGACGATGAACAGGTGAGTAGGGATTGTGAGTGGGAGCGGAGTTTTTGTGGAGGTTCATATTTGTTAATCAGATCCTGTAGATATGTTGGCGCATGGCCGTGGATGCAGTTATACGTAATCAGAAGTACTTTGTACACAATCCGTTATTATTGTTATTATGTCACAAATTAGTGATCACTTACATGAAGCATAAACCGACCTCTACCTTTTTTGGAGATGTCTTTGCCAATGAGCTCTTTTAACCACACACACAATATTGCAAGAAGAACCCTCTCTATAACCTTGTTTATACTTCTTTAACCATTTGTTTTGCCTTGTTATCCTTGCAGGAAGTAGGCAGTGTATTGAAGACCCCTGAGGCACGCAAGGTGATTCGCAACTACAACCGCACAGCAGCCGTGCTGATAGAGTTTGAGATCCTTTATCACAGAGCCTGGATGAAACAGGTGGACACCGTCAAAGCAGGTAATTGAGTCCGTCTCAATTCATATCCGGGACAACTTCCAGACAAGTTGCCGACATTGTTTGGGGTAGGAGTTGCAGGATTCTGAACAACTTCCCCGCAATCTTCCCGCAATTAAGTTATCAGTATTGATGAGTCAAGCAGTTGTTAATGAACTTTTCCCCGGACCATGTCTGGGGCAAATGCAGAGCTTCTTCTAACAAAGTGAATGGTTCTACCCTCAACTTGTCCGGAACTCGTCCCGGATATGAATTGAGATGGGCCCTAAGCGTTAAACAGCCTGCACTTGCATTGTAAACTTACATGTATAGTTACGTGAAATACTTGATTGTGTTGTATAATATGTTGGAATTTTTGGACCAGGTCTGCAGGCAACCCTGCTGATCAGGCACCCAGAGACCAAGGAACTCCTGGTGAACTTTGACCCCATGCTATACCAGGTCATCCGTGAATCGGAGTGCATGCGCAAGCATGACCTGGAGATACCCGAAGCGGCTCACATTATATGCCTGGGTCAGGAACAACTCAAGGAGAATTACAACACACTCAAGGTGAAGCCATGTCGAAGTACTATCTCCACTTTCGTTAATTGACATTTTCAGTCCCACTTGACTCACAGATGACATTCAATTCTCATATACATTGAATACACATGTAACCCATTCACACACAGCCCTTAGCATAGCTTCCACACAGCATAGGCTTTGTTTGAATGGCTGCAACCATCAGCCAGCAGTAGCACACTTATCTTATATCACATCCATAGGGGAATGTGTTCATTGCAAGCCCTAGACAAGTGATTTGAATGCAGCCGTATCCATTGTACAGGATCTGGAGTCATGAAATCCAAAATAGTTTTCATTTTCTTCAAAAGTTTGAATGCACAGGAATATAAGTGCTGCAATTTCGGGATTTCACAGGTTTTTTTCCATTTCAGATCATATATCTGGCAAGCACACACATGTGCCGTAACTGTGGGCACTACACACGAGTTGTTCCATGGTACTATGGGGACCGCAGACGCTACGGGGACAGCAGAAAGTCCCCATAACTCAGTCCTAATTTACCTAACAATATAAAACCTCCCCATAACGCTGTGGTCGCCCCATTATACATTTCTTGTGTATCGGATTGCTTGTAATCAGTAGTTTCTGCTGTTTTAGTAATCCAACAATGTTTTTTTTTTCAAGCTGAACTCTGTTTTTCTGTTTATGTTGTGTTGGTCATGAGAATCATTTAGTACGGTTTGTTGTACTTGCAGCTATTACTTGATGAGAATGAAGCAGTACGGGCCAAGATCCCAGGCATCTTCCAACCCCTCATGACAGCTCACACTAAGAAGGTGGACCTTGCCATCATGCCCGGCCTGACCATGCTGTGCTGGACGTCCCTCAATCTGCAGATTTACTTTGACAGTATCCGGTCGGCACTGAGAGATCTCAATCAGATTATCAAGGAGGTAAGGTCTGCCGTGGACTCTTTGAGCAAATGCCCCCTCACTTGGTTACAATGAGAAAGTTAGGAGAGACTCATGAAAACATTTCTGATGTTTGCCTTGCGCTAATTGATGATATAGGTCTCTCTCAAATGACGTCATTTCCTACAGACCAGCCACGTGCAATCGGCATTTTGAGCGTCAACTTGCATAACGCGCATCAGCTGCGTCGTATTTGGAATACATTTTGAGCAACAAGTGTGCATGTTTGGAATATTTTCAACACTGGAATATTTTCAACACTGCGCAATGCAGCTTGATTGCATAAAATACGCAGTTGCACTTCTCCTACAGAGATGGCCGTCTTTGAGAGAGACCTATTAGTTTGTGCACTTTCAGAGTAAAATGACTTGTGCCGTTTGTACGAACCAGTGGTCACGAAGCACTATTTGTCCTACTGTTATATGCATGGAATTCAGAAATACTGCTGAAAACTTGCAGCAACAATCATGAAACAATTACGACGTGTTGTTAGGTTTGTGGCGTATGGCCTGCAATGTAACACTGCTGTGACACTTCCTGTAAAACATTGTCACAAAACTCATTTTAAGTGCAGTATTTACTAAAATGTGTTATTTGAATAATTTTGCACTGGAGTTGAGACTGGAAGATTTGTGATTGACGTTATGACAACTCTTTTGAAAACATACTTAGACCTTGCATGTTTGGGCCTTGACATCTCCTCTCAAAACACCTCATCCTCAATCTTTGGCTGAGCCATCATCAGTAAACAGAGGAAAAATGGTTGCGGTCGACTTATGCAAATAACAGTGGTGCACCCAGGATTTGGCTTATTGGGGGGGGGGACCTCACAATTGTTTTTTCAAATTTATTTAGAAGTTTGAATTTTTTACTTTTTGGCTGATGAAAAATAATTTTGTTAAATTTTTTTTTTTTTTTTTTGGGGGGGGGAACGGACTATGTTGATGTTGGTGGCGCCATTTACACCTCAATTATACTGCTCAAAAATAGGCTACATCCGGTTCGTTAGTGTGACGTAACCTCCAGCACTTTCTGCATGATTGGAACTGGAAGTTAACGCAGCTTGAGCGTTTGTAGCCAAGGGGCGCTAGTAATCAGTGCTGCGCGCGTGTGTATGACGTTTTCACTAACGAACCGGATATATATCACAACGGTCAAATCGTGGGACTAAACAAAATACCCCCCCCCCCAAAAAAAGATTGACAACCTTTGGGGGGGGGGGGGCTCAAGCCCCCCAAGGCGCCCCCCCCCCCCCCAATCCCTTGGGTACGCCACTGGCAACAATGTAAAACATTGCCAACGATTTCCCATTGGCCATGCACAAAAAGATCACAAACGTTAGCAATGCTTGCTAGAGTGGAACGCACCCCTGGTTTCTTGTCCAAACTCACCTAGCATTAAATCCATTGACAGGTGAATGACATACGAGAGGCCAGGATAGACTCTCTACTGGAGGAGATAGGAGATACAATGCTGTGTGATCTACCCAATGACAAGCCATGGAACGTGGAAGAATTCACTACCAAAACACAGGTAAGCGTTGAGGCAAATTTTATATGGATCCACTAAGTACAGAAATTACTTTCCGCAGAATTTATGTTTAGAAGAACCTCAGAGAATTGTTTTTTTTGTGATATTTTTCGTCATTAGAATATGCTGAGCAATACTTTCTGCCACACATCTTAAGCATTTCCAAGTGATTGGGCTCACGGTTGTGCGACTGTTTTATTCTAGTGAATGCAGATTTTCTCTAGCACAGTTTAGAACGTTAGACTAATCCGGCAAACAAAATGCGCAGCCACACACATTCTTAAAGACAAGGCACACGCGTCTTTCGTTAACCTAAATTGGTCGAAGGACTGAGCACGGAGTGCGTGCGTACTACCTGAGCGTGACTTGATTAGCCTGGTGCCACCTCAGAAAATGGCTGCTGCCAGATTAGTCTGTAGAATACGTGCTTCGGTATTGAGACTGTACAAATCATTATACATGTACTGTGTTTCAAATTTGGATGTGAATGATGATTACGATTTGCTCATGAAAATATTTCATATGAAAATTACGAAGGGCGTATCTCGTATTAATATTTTCAAGAATAGTTTTTGCCTTTTTGTTTTTGACGCAAATTGTAGTAAAGAAAAAGACTTTAACCACTGTTGTGTGTATTGAGCATCTTGAGGACGACATATCAGGAACACCAAAACACGATGCCTGTAGATTTATTTAATAAAGTCAATTTATTTAATTTGAAATGACATTAGACGTGCTGAACCTGTCTCCAATTGTTGTAAAGAGACAATCACCTTTCCACCCCTGGACTTCATTAAATTGACACAAATAATAAGTCTCTGTCCCCCACCTTCCTCGTGCACCCTGGACTTACAACAAACACGGGTCAAATCTAACTCCTTTTGTTCCCCTGCAAGTCCCCTGTCTTTCTACACTGTTGTCACAATTGTTTACAGAGTCAAATTACATAAAAACGGACCAGCGCCGTCTTGTCTGGCTTTGCAGCTACTAAAGTGAATTATTAGATGCAAAGGCATAGGAAGGACATTATGGCAGGCAGCATTTCAGCTGTGAGCTTTACAATTAACCTATATATGCCATTCATTTCATTAAAGGGATTAAAGTATAACCTGGGTGGATAAAAAGCACACACCGTGATCAAGTTTGACACAGAGTCAAGAAATTCTTGTACTAAATGAAGCAAACTTTGACAACAATGAATATAAAATAGTTGATAACAGTAATTTCAAGCAGTTTTTTATTTTTTTTATTTTTTAAATTTTTTTTAGTTGAGCAAAAAAAGTGACTGGAGCGGGATTTGAACCTGTGACCTACGGATTACCATTTTGGTGCTCTACCAACTGAGCTATCCTGCGCTATATTAGCGGTGCTCCAATTGTTTTTTTGTTAAAACTTTTTTGAAAAGCATCAGTGAAGTCCCAAAAAAACTGAAACATTATGCCAAATAAAACCCCAAAAAACAGAAATCAAAAAAAGTTACATCTTTCCAGTTATACTTAAAGATTTAAGAATTATTTGACATGGTGTTCGAGTGTTCTTGCATTTTTTCTTTAAATATTTCAGTTGTCGGACATTAGTAGCCGTAATGTCTCTGACAAATGATATCTCAGATATCCATAAAAACAGAAAAAAAACTATTTGTATAACATCAATCATTATTTTGTCTTCAAGGGTGGTTACCCAACGACACAAATCTGCTTATGAGATGATGAATGCCTGGAGGTTAAAAGCAAATTTGTGTCCATGACCATCTCTGAAATAGTCATAGTCACATAAACACTCAACAGAAACTGTGGAAACGGTTGATGATGTTAAATATTGACCAACCACAGTGTTACTATGCAACATATCTTTGAAGAGTTTGTTGGGAAACTGGTAACTTAGGAAACGCTGAAAATAATTGCTTCATGATATTTCATGAGATTGTCTTTATATTGTAGTAACTAATCATTAGAGATATTTCTAGATTACCAACAACTTTTGGGGAAAAAAAAATCCATTTTAAAACACAAAGAGCATAAATTCAATTGCCGGTAAAATAGTGTGTAAGACTCCTGCAGTCAACAGATTTTAGGCCTTTTTAAATCACTGATTGGTGCCATGTACACATGTGCAAAATTTTCGAAGACAACTCTTGAACACACACACATACACATCCTTTGCGCTTTAAGGTACAGCGGTGATATTAAGATACTTGCTAATCCAATATTTTCTTACTAAATAAAATGCTTCATAAGTCAAGTCATACCCACATCAACTCAGTACATGTTGTTTGTTTTCAAAACTTACTTTGATAGCAGTTGTCATCATGTGTATAATGCCACTATAACACTATTGGTTAAAGTTTGGGATATCTGCATGCATGAGAAGATATTATGTACGGTAGTTAGAATGAAGTCTTAGCACTAACTCCTATCACACAGACAGCATTGCTTTGTGTGGACTAGCAGATTATGCACTGCCTTTTTAAACTCTTTGTTTCTGACGTAGTAAACGATAACATTCACCCAGCTCACGGTGGCCAACAGAATCCTTGTCACAGTAACCAGCACAGAGGGTATCGCATTCCCGTTTGACTCTGCCACGCAGACGATGCTGAACGGTCCCCAGCAGACAAACAGTAAGGCATTGATAATGCCGACTGTTGTAAAGGATCTCCTGTTTGGCGACGCTGCTTCGTTAACCCACGCAAGGTTTTGCTGTGCCGCGATCCGAGCAGCGTGCCGGCCCGCAATTTTTAAAATCCTGAAGTACATCACGAGATTGCAAAGGAACCACATCAAACCCATTGTGAAAGTGGCAGCATACGTGGCTGAGTTATCCACACCAAATACGCATAGCTGCAAGGTTTCGTTAAAGATTGTGTGGTCCCGTTCCGAAAGAAAAGAAAACAGTGCATATAAGTGAGTTATTAATGCTGTAATGCATGTCATAACCTTGGCGCGTTTTGCCGTCATCCATGTTCCGTATCGCAAAGGATAAACTATCGCAAGGTAGCGATCGGTCGTCACAAGGAGCACAGACATCATGTTCATTGGAAGACCCTGCCTTATGATCCATGCCTGAACGTAACAAAATGCCCCATATGGCCAGGACCCCCCAGCAACCGAGACGCCAATCATTGGGAGGTAAATGAAGACTCCTAAGTTAAGGTCTCCTATAGTCATGAAGGCTAAGAAGACTTTGGTGGCATCATTCATGGTGCCGACTTTTGGGAGGATGGCAAGACACATGATGTTTAGCACCAGAATCAGCAGTGTCGTGATGGTCCATATACTGGCAGTGATAATGCTCACAATCACGTCAGTTCCATCCTGATGAGTCGTATTCATGATATCTGTAGTGCACATTATAAAGAGTTCCATTTCCACTGTCGTTCTATGCAGATCGAGAGCATGGCAGTTTTGCTAGGTAAACAGTACTGCAGTTGTCATAAAAGATATCCTTGGTTGATTATTTTTATTCCAAAGTGCCCGTCAGGCGAAAGTCGGCATAGTCTATCCTCAGATGTAACTTTCCTGGGCTTTCGTCAGTTGACATTTTAGACAGCAACAAAATCTGAGTAAAGTCATTGCCCAGTTTATGCGGTGACTTTAAAAGGATGGGCGCACATAGATTAAAAACATTCACACTTTAGTGATCAAAAGGTTCACTGGAGGCAAGGGTAGCAAGGCAGCATTGTAGCACTGGGCAAGAAAAACTATAGAGCGTGCCAACCAGAACAGACATTGGAATAGCTGACATAAAACTGGCATCACCACTTACTAGCAGCTTCTGCCGTGCACAGTTAGGATCATTTTATTCCAACGTTCCCCAAATCCATCTAATGTCAACAGAGTGAACGGACTGGCAGATAGTTGCCCATGTGGTAGAGATAGAGGCACAATGAGACAGACCTGTTGCATCCTTTGTCAAGGAAAACAATTTTTGCCAACCACTACGGAGGTTGGAAAAGCCGAAGCAAAACCAGTTTCATCACTCTATCAGCTCTGCTTGTAGAACTGCTACACACACAGTTAACTCAATCACAAGTCCTCTACCGGTGCATTTTGTCCTCATCAAACCAGAACAGTCAAGTGGACTCGGTAAACTGTACGTGCACTTTGTTCCACGCAGCCATTTGACTGCCAGCAAGAGTTGCAGTTGTGCCGAAAAGAGGTCTCCGTTGTGCTTGCCGCTGCCCAAGATTGTACTTTAGACAGTGAAACTACTTGATAAGGTTGTTGACTTTAATGGGGGCATCATCACAGAGCTCGAGAGCAAAACCAACAGATACTTGTACTTATATGGATGATGCCTCGTTAGCCACTTTTCAGCATCTTGTATGTCAAGCGTGATCTCGCAGTTATCATTAGCAATATTTCCAATCACGAGCAATCTAGGATCTTATTATTACGGATCGCAGCTTGTGTCATCTATCATGGGTTTTTCCTCGCAAAGCTCTCAAGACTTGTGTACACGCGTCATCGGGATTGAGGCGTGTTTGCTGATGCGGTGAACTAATTCATACACGCTGTGATTGCATTTGGCGGAGCAACAACTTTTGCCTAGGCCACTCCAGTGCAAACCTGAGAACGTTTGCCAATTACTCGTTCCACACATCAGGCCAAACAATAATGATGATAAAAATGACATTCACATCATGTTGAGTGTATTTGTTTTAATGGGTTGTTTGAAGACAGGCTACGGTACATGCAGTAAACATTACTCATTTTGGACTGACTTGTAATGATAAAATGAATGCTGGTTGTTGTATCAATCAACGCCAAAGTCTACATAATTGTTTGCAGTGCCTGCATGTGCACGTTGTTAGTTGTAAATGATTTCATTCGGTGTGTGAATTATTGAAAGGCTGTATATGATCAAGGAGGGGTTCTTATTGGATGCAAGTCAGGGACTACGGTAGCTACGGTTTGCATGACAACCGCATCATTGGACATGGAATTCTGTGGCTTGTAACCAGGCAATCGAGGAACTACATATTTAGCTGCTGATTCAATTTCTACATAATTGATGAAGGGCCCATGCAATGTAATTGTTTTGTAATGCAATTCTTGAAAATGCACCTTTGTATCCAATTTTACCTTATGTTGAATATTCGTTTTGCCATTTTCGAGGGTATTTTGGTGCCTCTTCGGTTTTTATGCTTATGGTTTTAATGCCAAATTTCCATATTCATGAGTAAATGTGTGATGTCATTCCAGGCAGAAATCTCAATGTTACAGCTATTTCAGCACAAAATGTTGCCGGAATTTTGGATATTTTGCTGTTGTAAAGTTTCTTTCCTTTGGTGATTCGTTGTGTCAGTTCATGGCAGTATGCCAATGAGCAAACTTTTCTCACAAATGTATTCAACAAATAATTTTTGGGTTCACAATTTGAGCAGAAAACCCTAAACTGAACAATGTCTTCCTGAAACTACATCACAGCAACAGCGTCCTAAGTTGTCCGGAAAAGCATGGACAATTTTAAATAATGCACTGTTCAAAAATAGCCAAAACGGAATGTGAAGTAGTTTTCATACATGTTTAAGAGGAATAGAAACTTGCATAAAATGTTTTCCTAATAGTCATCTCATGAACCCTTTATCTTAAGACTTGACTACTTGGCAGTCAAGCTTGTGTACAGCAAGACAATATATCAAGTGAAATGGTGCCTATCGGAGACACAAAGCTATAATGGTGCGACCGGAGACAGAAAGCCTGTAAACGTTTGCAGACAACATGACATTGTGAATAATTTTGTCTAATTGAGGTAATCAGTTTAGTTCTCAAAGAGTAAAATGGCCATAAACTACATGTAGTTACCTCATTTACCTGAATGATTATTACTTTATAAACGACTCTACTGGTACTTAAATCTTTGCTCACGCTGGAGCCGCCCTGAAGTCATAGTTAATGATTGATTTGCTGGGAACAGTTAATTCCATTCAAATTAGGTTTTGCCCTGCACCGACGTTTAAACACTGTATACTCAGTGTGTTACCTCCCGAGTGAAAGTTGGAAAAAATCACTCGGTTGGGACTCGAACCCACGACCTCCTCCGAGTGATTTTTTCCAACTTTCACTCGGGAGGTAACACACTGAGTATACAGTGTTTTTAAACGTCGGTGCAGGGCAAAACCTAATTTGATTTATATCACCCCGACCCAAAAATTCAATCTTATAATAGTTAATTCAGTTAATTAAGTGTAGACGTGAAAGTAATTGATGCTTCTTGAGGGGTGTCTCCTTGTCTATACATTATGTATGTTTTATACATTATTCCTTTGAAGCAAATGGCATATGTTTGTGAAGATAAACTCATCAACACAGTCAGCATCAAAACCGATGGACAGCCGAAGAAGGAATGTGTAATTAGCACATATCTGACTTGTGTAACTGATGTGTTTTCTTTTTGCAATTTTTACTTTCAGGGACCCTTTTCTATGGGAATCCTTTTTAGGTTTCTCGTGTCTTATTAGCCTTGCTTCCTTGCTTGGGCTAGGTTTCCAACATTCAGCAAAATAATGGACACTTAGCAATATCCTTTTGAATAACTTAAATTGTTTGTGACTTGCCCAGGTAATCAAAATCTAATAGTAGTCTGGTGCTTTTCATTTGGACTTACCATGTCAGTTTTTTAATATTTTCTATACTTGTATGTTATTTCTATGTTAGTATAATGAGGGTATTCCCTTTGTGGATCAGTAATAGAAACTCTGATCCTCTGTAGCAGTTACTTTTTTTTTCAAACCGCCTTCCTTTTTTTTTTTTTTTACAGAAACACTGTGAGGAGAAGACCAAAGTCACGGACAAGCTGAGCACCAAGATTGAAGACGCTGTCACCGACCTGGTCAGTCTGTTTGTGGAGAAAGCCCATAAAGTGACAGGGTATCAGCGTCCTGGAGACACCCCTAACAAGCAGGAACATGGCTCGGAAGGTATGTCAATGCAAGCTGTCTCTATTGGTCAGCTTGGCAAGAGAGGGTGCATAAGAGCGTTGCAGTGGCGCGCCCAAGGGGGAGGGGGGGGGGGCCGGGCTGGGGGGGGGGCTTGAGCCCCCCCCAAGAGGTTGTCAATTTTTTTTTTGATTTTTTTTTTTTTGAATTTTTGTTTTTTAGTCCCACGATTAGGCCTTGGTGATATGAATGTGGCCTGTGTTCGAGTAGTATAATAGGGGTGTAAGTGGCGCCACCAACGTCAAAATAGGCCGCCCCGAAAAAAAAAACCAATTTTTTTCTGCGGCCAAAAGTTTTGGGCAAATTTTTTTGAAAAAAAACCAACTTTTTAACAAATTTGTAAAAAAAAATTTTTGAGCCCCCCCCCCTCCAAACCAAATTCTGGGTGCACCACTGGAGTGTTGAGCACCGTGGTTTAGTGTTGATGGTGTCTGACTCATGCTAAGTGTTGCGTTGGTTCGAACCCTGACAGGGAACTTGGTGTTTGTGTTCTTAGTCAGTACACTTTGCCACAACTATAACCCCCTCCACCCAGGAGCACAAATGGGTAACCTGTGAAGGTAGAGACCAGGAGCCGATTTCATGAAACTGTAAGACGCATCTTAGGAAGAGTAACTTGTCCTAACTCGCGACTCATCATAGGATTGATTTCACCAAACTTAAGATGCATTCAACACGTCCTAAATCCCTCGGCAATGCCGCTGAACTCGTCTTAACTAAACGCCTGTCTGTAGGTCATCCTAACTCATGATTACGTTCATCGATTTGTATCGTGTCGAAATGTAGGTCATCTTATCTCATGATTACGTACATCGATTTGTATATTGTGTCGAAATCAGTGATTTGTCTTTTCGTTATTAAGGCGAGTTTTTGCCTATGGGTATATTTTTGCGGCAGTTCAAAGCTCATTTTAACTCAAGAGGAGGAAAACTGCTGTAGAAACAGTTATGAAAAGGCTTCTGTCATGCAGGTAGTTTTAATAATAATTTATTTCTAACTTACAAAATTCCATTGTTGGCCCATACCTGCCAATTTTGTAGGCCTACGCCTAACTAACAACATTCCCGGTTCTTGACAGAGAGGGGTGATGAACCCGGGGAGTGATGCGGCAGTCACGATTAATGGTATTAATTCAATGGAATGCACGGGACAACTTTTTTGCGTATTTCCTACCAACAGCCATCAAATTGACAACTTTGTCCTCGTCCAATAAATAGCAACTCCCTTATCTGTATTTCCGTCACGTCTTACCACTTCACGTTGGATGACGTGTATACACTCATACATAGGTGTTGCGGTATTCGGAACGGATGACGGATAAACACGCAACGAGTGAGGCCGGAAATATCTGTCTGCGACCCGCTTGCAGCGAGCGAGGCCGGATATGTCAGGGTGTGCTACCCGCAGATGACGGCCTGAACCCGTCTGGCATCGAGGTTCATAAAAACAATCCCTCGCCTGGGTCCGGTCAATGTCAAAATAATCCTGGCGCAAACTGGTGAAGATGCTTAGTAAAATCGGTCCTAAGATGTTCTTAGCTAGGATTGATCTTAGAGCAGGGAATCGTCTTAGGTCCTGAAATGAGTCGTAAGATAAGACAAGTTTTGTGAAATCAGCCCCAGATTGCGCTTATCTTGAGCTTCACTGTAGAAAACTGGTCTCACGGCCTGATGAACACTTTTAATAATTAGTGAAACCCTTTGAGACTTTGGTTTGAACTTTAATGTAAGCACCACAATATTACTATTAATTAGAATTGCAAGTGATTTATGCTGTTGGAAGGTTCAGTGGTAAGAGTTAAAATCTTCTTAATTAACTGCTGGATAACAGGAAGGAAGGGGAAGGGACGAGATCCAAAGTCATCAATTCTTTGCTTTGTCACGTATAAATCCTTGCAATTTCCTGAGGTGAATAATAATGACTTTGTCTTGAACTCAATCCTCTTCACCTAAAAAAGGGTAACTTATCTTTTTTTTTAAATCAAGGAACTGCCACAAGCTGTGTGCAGGCTTTCACGTATTCCTACTTTTTCCCAATTTTTGTTTACCTTATCTGACTTTTTTCTTGCAATTCCTACTTTTTCCTTCTTTTTTTTGTCTCACAACTCCTAAAAATAAAATTTCATTGAACACTTTTCATAACAGTGTTACACACTGTCATGTAAACCACACAATGATGGTCTTGGGCGCAGGAGAACCGCAACTGTACTTCCAAGAACTTAATTGAGTACGGAGCACAAGTGTTGTGAGTACAGAACATGCCAAATGAGGCTTATGATTCTGTGGACTCCTGAAATCCCGCAAAAGTCCTACTTGTATCCTGATTTTGCCCTCCAAAGTCCTACTTTTGTCGTGTATTTTTGAAAATTTTGATCATTTTGATCCTACTGTTGTCCTACTTTTTCACCTGTGTCTGCTTGAAAGCCTATGTACTGTATGTACAACGCTGTTTCAGGTGTACTTTGTACCTTCTAGTGGTACTGTCATTAAGTGATGAGACTTTGAGGTATTATAATTGCTGGATGCAAACCCGAGTTAAACCAGCACCTAAGGATGATTACTTCCGTGAAATTGCTTGATCTCTTTTTTTCGGTTAATGGCTTACCTTTGATCATAATAGATTGCTTGTGATAACATCAGAGTGGCTGTAATGTAATGACTTCCTCCGAGGAAGCTACGGGTATTAACTGAGGTTTTAAGAATAATTTACTTCTTAAGATAGGAAGGAGATTGCCCACGGTAATATCTGACGAACTATCCTCTATCACAACTCCCATGTCCTATCAAGCAATCAAGCACATACTATTTGGCAACACTATTGAGATAGCATATTTTGCATGTGAGCACGATGCTACCTCAGTAACATTTTCTAATTGGGGGTTGGGGGTGGGGGTAGGGGCGGGGAATGATCCTACAGTCCATCTCCTCCTGGTAAAAAAAAATCAGGGAAACATTCTCCTTGATCCTGAACCGCCATCCCCCCCCCCCCTCCTGATCTTTGCCCATGCCAGTAAAGTCTTCTACATATATTTTGGGTTCTGGGTAAGTCTACGGACCAATAAAAGCACATGATCAGTGTACATGTACACTCAGCATCCCAGTACAGTGGAACGCCGCTATACCGAACACCGCTATACCGAACATCATCCTTGGCTCCCGGTATTAACTCTTTCGCTACGGAATTTAATTTACCTAGTTTGTCCCGTTTGGACGTAATAAATCGCTTGAAATTCCGCCGAGCGTCGATGTGGGCGCCGCCATCTTTAAATGTATCTCCGTATTAAACAAACTGCTCACAATAACCTGCAGCGCACCCCGGCCAGACGGAGAGCCGCTGGCAGTGGCTCAAACTAAGGTCAGAGGTTATACGATATAAATTATGTAGATATGGCACACGTCATGGGGATACCCTGTTTATTCACAGCGACATCACCGAGCCGCTGCCAGCGGCTTGCCGTACGACCTGTACAATTTGTGTGTGCCGCTGTTAGCGGCTCGCCGTAGCGAAAGAGCTAATGTACAAATTAAAATGTACTGAACATTGTTGTTGAAAAAAGTCAACAGATTAACAAAAAATGTACCGGTTGTACATGTATTTATCACTATTTGGGCCACTTTTAATTCCCGAACATCAAACGACCCATAGTTACCTACATTGTGTTTGAATGTTGAAGAGTGATACCTATTATTTCCCCAAGGAATAAAAGGGAAAACCACCCATTGCTCAAGTTTCCGACTCCTCGTGCGGCCGCGGGATGTGACAAATACCGGTTCACTATCGGTCAACAGAGGGTACCGGTGGTTCAAAATCACTATACCGAACGATCATTATTACGAACACTTTCTGTTGATCCCACGATGTCCGTTTTAGCGGCGCTCCACTGTATTGGTGGGAGTATTTTACCTGTGCTTACATCACCTGTGTTGTGCACTATAATAGCTGGCAAAATGCTCCGTAACTTGAAAAGTACATGAGTGATTGAATGATTCTTGTACTAAAAGAAAGCTTATGAATTGGGCTTTCATATCCTAGATTTTGGAAGTGCTACATGCAGAACTTCACTAAATCAATGGTTCCGACATTTGGGTTTCGTTTTTTTTTTTACTTGCCCTGTACACTGCATGAGTCTAAATGAGAAGCAAAATTATACACTAAAAGTAGGGTCATTCCATAAATTGGGATCCACTTTTCTATTTACATAGAAGACATCTATGATTTTATAATGCTGATGAACTCCTTAATGCAGTCATCCTCCAAGAGTGATTATGAATAGCAAACTACCAACCCCACAAATAGTACAAATTGTTAGAAGTCATTTTCAAACAGGGACACTAAGTACGATATGTCACACTAAAATAGTACCCTGAATTTATAGAATGACCAAGTACCGGTAGCGTTTATCTTGGGAGTGTAATGCATTCTTTTCCCGCAGAGGAGAAGAGCGAGGAACCAAAGGAAGATGATGACACCCAGCGTGAGTCTGAGTTCAGCATCGCCAGCACAGAGAGTCTAGAGGAAGAGGCACAGTTACAGGAGGAATGCCAAGAACTCATCTTGCACTTCAGTCAGCGACTGCTGGAAGCATTGCTCAAAGCCACTCGCCAGTCGCTGGATAACATCAAGAGGAGGGTCTTCTTCTCAACGTGAGTAGACAAGTTGTTATCATTATTAAGATTAGTTGTCTGAACTTGCAATTGATTTAATCGCAGAGTTGTGTTTGAACAATCTTAAGTCAGCTAATCACAAGCTAGTTCACAAGAAACAGGGGATATGCACAATAACAAAGCTATTGATCTGATACACCGTACCCTCTGGAGACGTGTGTACAATAGAGAACAAAAGATCGTATACGTCTCCACAGGGCAATTTCTATAGATGAATACGTCTCCACAAGGTTTTCACAAAATAGATATAAGGATTTTACTCAAAACTAGGAATTTTCAAGGTATGTTGATCCGTCGCAAATAGAAGAGTTTTAGAAAAGGGATATTAAGTCCAAATTTCAGCAAAGGAAATTAATTCTGGTGAACATAACAGTATTTTTAAACTACACTTTTAAACTCAAAAACTCTAGTACACAAGAACAAAGGAATGTCTCCACAAGGATACGATACAAATTCCAGTATGAGTGCTTTTGTTATAGATTATTTGAATAGCTTGTTATTTAGCTGGAGAGGGGATTAGTTGTGATGGACTAGTGTTGACTTATGACTGACACTTTTACGACTCTGGTCAGTCACAAGTCAAATCACAAGCCACAGTTAACAGGGATACAGCCATAACATATCTCCTTCCCCAAGTTTATCAAGGGAATAAATGTGTGCTTGGGAGGTGTTAAACATATGTTTAAGACTGGTTGGAGTAGTATGTAATACACCAGATGGTGGACTGTACTTCACCGGAAGAGAGAGAGAGTCTGGAATGCTTTCCAACGCATTTAAGACAGTTTGACCAGATTTCGTTCAACAATTGTACTTTCTGTTTTTCAAAACACCACTCTAGCTATATAATGGAGTGTCGAGCTCGGGAGTAAGACGTAAACAATTCCTTTAATGGAGATTGGGGTGCGCGTACTGCGCGATAACGCGCAGATGCAGCTGTGGTGAGTGCATTGTGAATTTAGGACTATGAAATACTGACTCATAGTAGTATTGCGCATGCCTACGTGAGGTTTGTGAAACGGTAAAAGGCACTGGATTTTATTGGAGTCCAAATTTCATGTGACACTGGAAAAGTGTTTAAGACCTGCCAGCCATGTCTTGATCATCCGTGTAAGACCGGCCGCGTAAACTGTCTCAGGTATTTATGAATGTAGCGTAAAAGTGTCTGAATATATATAGAGGTACCAGTTAAACAGATTTAATGCTATGAAATTGGTAGTAATTCTCAGGAAAGTCTCCTCTTGGACTTTGATGGGGGAACATGTATGTGGCATTAAAACTTAGCTTTTTGAATTTTCATTCCATGCAAATGTGGTTTTATTTTCAGTTCAGTTCAGTTCAGTTTATTTCCACAGTACCAAAAAAATATCAGTGACAATGACAATGACAATCTTATAGAGAACAGCAGAAAAACACTTTGAATAAAGTTGAAGCTAAGCAAACAATAAGTATGAAAGATACAGTGGAGGGACCCATAAAGAAGCAGAGCTAGTAAGAAATGGGCACCTGAGCATGCGTGTGCATTGAGCCGGATAATGAGATTTTGTTTTTGTTAATTTGTTGGTTTGTTTAGTTTTGGAAGAAAACAATTGTACAACAAAAGTAGAAAACAAGTGTGCGAGTAAACGAGTGCAAGAAAATAATTAATCGTAATCTGACCCGTACATCGGAATATGAATGACCAGTTTCAATGCACATGCACCATTGAAAAGAAAATTAAACACGAAATACTCTTAATTAACTTACAACGGACGGGAACAAACAAATATGACTGATACAACTACGACAACGACAGGTCAGCAATGTACAAGTATATAAACAAATTGAAACCTCAATTTAGCAATGGGATTTGACATACAGTGTATACTTATTGCTGTTTGGTGATGTTCACTCTTGTTGCAGGCCCATTGGAGGAGGTGGACTCGCCTTTGGTGCCAAACGTGTTGGCAAGAGATCACCATTCTTCCAAGTCAGTGTAGCCCTGGAGATTCCTAATGTGGTATGTACACCGTAAAAGCTCACTTTCCTTTATGGAACCTCTTGTAAGTGCACTTGTAGAGGCACTGTATGGGGCTGAAAACATGGCTGTGCAGGCTCGGTTTGGAAAATGTGTGTGCAGATCCTTCTTTAGAGTTAGGGTACCTGATGAGCAATTGTAGCGCCTGGTGGTTCTGCTGCAGGGAACGGGTTTTGTCTGTGGTAGAAGTAATGATGTTGATCATGAAGTGTACTATTTTATTTCATAAACGTTGTCATCTCAAGGCCCTGGAAAATCCCATTTGAGATGTGGGCTACACATGTGAAAAAGGAGGGAGCACAACATTCTCAGTGTAGAAAGATGTTGCATTTGAACTGAGACTGATTATAAGTAGCGGAGAAACCGGATGCCGGTTGGTGTAAGGCATTCCAAAATGATGCAAAGTAGAAGAAAGTAGAAAACTGCATTTTACGTTGCTTTGGTATGAAGCCCGGGAAGGGACAGGGTGGAATTTGTTTTTGTAATTTGCTAATTCGTTCCCACGAATTACTAATTCGTTTGCTCGAATTGCTAATTCGTTCGCACGAATTGCTAATTTGTTCGCACGAATTGCTAACTTGTTCACACGAATTGCTATTTCGTTCGCATGAATTGCTATTTCGTTCGCACGAATTGCTATTTCGTTCGCACGAATTGCTAATTCGTTCCCACGAATTGCTAATTCGTTCCCACGAATTACCAACTCGTTCCCACGAAATACTGACGCGTTCCCGGATCCACGAGTTAGCAATTCGTTCCCACGAATTAGGAAATCGTGGGAACGAAATAGCAATTCGTGCGAACGATTAAGCAATTCGTGGGAACGAAACAACAATTTGTGGGAACGAAATAGCAATTTGTGCGAACGAAATAGCAATTCGTGCGAACGAGTTAGCAATTCGTGCGAACGAATTAGTAATTCGTGGGAACGAGTTAGCAATTCGTGCGAACGAATTAGTAAATTACCAAAAAAAATTCCACCCTGTCCCTTCCCGGGCTTCATACTTTGGTGACAGTGACAGTATGTGAATGTAAACAAACAGCAAATTAAAGCTATCCTAACATAACGTGGGCATTTGAATTATCTCTGGTCTGTCACATGATGCTATCAGGTGATCAAGCCTAGCCTTGATGACATCCAACAAGCCTTAAACAAAGCCACCATCTGCGTCTTGGAGGTCAGTCGTGGCGTGGCTCAGTGGGGACAGAAACGCTTCCTGGTCATGAACTCTCCTAAGTCCAGTCACTTCCAGCCCTCTCATATTGATGTGTGTAAAGGCAAAGTGATTGCATCAGGTAAGCGCTTGTCGGTTCTTCTGAAGGGCTCAGGCAGTTTCTAGAACTTCGGCTTTGTCACTGGTTCATGAGCTCATAGTGACCAGTGTTACAGTCAATCATAAGTCCTCACCAATCCCTGCAAGTCCATCACAAGTCATGCAGTCCCTAGTCAAGCCACAAGCTATTCAAATGAATAGTGAATGAGGCATTCCCTGTTATCGAACTTGTGATGGACTCTATTTTATAACCGACATACAGATCATTGTCATTTCATTGGTAGAACTCAAATCACATGGCATTCGTTATTGCTCCCATTCACGCCGGGGCTCAAAAAGTCCCATTCGCCAATGGTGAATGGGATTTACTTTTCAACAGTTAGGATCATCCTTGTTCCATGGCGCGGTATTTGTGTGCAAATGCATGCTGGTGTGCGCGTTGAGCGTTGGGTGTAGCGCTTATTGTTCCCAATAGCCAGTGGTTACAGAGTTGCATGGGTTCAAATATTTCGTGAAAGGGTGGTTTGGAAGAGAGAAATACATTTCTCACCAATTTTGTATTGAAATAGAAGTTCATTTTATCTGTGAATCAAATGACAAGGATCTATATGTCAGTTATATAAAGCAAATATTGAATGGCTTTAAATTGTAAAATGAGAGGAATATTATCGCTCGGTAAAATCTGGACTTTTCCATTTCACCCGGCTTCGCCTCGTGAAATAAAAAGTACAGATTTTATATACCTTGCGATAATATTCCTCTCATTCCACTCTGAGCAACTCACTATTTGTATACTACAACACCGTTGGCTGCGGTAATTTGGAGCAGGATCGGTGTTTTTTCCCATGTTTTCCTCTGGGTTTTTGCCCATCCCATAGTCAGCAATTAATGTCGTATACCTGTATGTTTGAAATGCACTAAATTACATATAGCTTTCCATTGTCTAAATATTTCCAAAGTACTTGTAAGAATCAGTGTTGTAAGTCGGTTCCACCAATGTACTTTTTCCATTTGAATTTTATTTTGCTTTAACTCAATCTTGTAATTTGTAACATTGTATGTATAGGGCCCGATTGGAAACCATTTTTAACTGTTTGGGCCTAACCTGGGTAAAGAAATGTATTAAATAAATGAACACTGGTAGTGACATAGCTGCTGTCAACACTCGTCACAATATGTAAGTCTCGCCAGTCCATGTTAACGGTTTATGTAAACGTTTGGGAACAAACACCGATAAGTCTAGTCCGACCCCGTGTTTGAATTTACCTAATAAGCCTCTGTAATGACGTCACACTTTGTTTACATGTGCACTTTCCTATGGAGCCAGTGGGGGCCCACGGTCCACTGAGCACCATAGGAAAGCACACATGTAAACAAAGTGTGACGTCATCAGTACAGAGGCTTATTGTCATCTACGTGATCGGTTGAACAGAAGTTGAAGTCAACATATTTAATTTTATAGTAGTCATCAATTCGCAATATTTTCAAATATGTTGAAAATTGAAAAGCTCTCTATTCTTTTGAAGTACCCATTTATTGCAGACAAAATAAATGCAAAAAATAGGATGTTCCACTGTATTCTTGTAAAATCTCGCAGGTTCACACTCTATTTATTCACATTTTCGTTGTGTTGAACAAACCAGTGATCAAGATGGAGGCCATACCGCCTCAGCAACTCAAGAACTACTACAAGAGCATCGCGGAGCACAAGGACATCTTGAAGCTACAGATGATGCTGAGCAATGCTATCAGCCACACCAGGCCCAAGATACACGACGCACTCAAGATGTTCAGTCACTTCCAGTATCTGTGGGAGGAGGATAGAAACGAAGTAGTCAAGGTCAGGATGAGAGTGGTTAATGCTAAAATCGATGAGCTCTGTGTGCCAACACAGAGAGCCCATATATAGCCCATATATAGCATGAAGTACAAAAGACTAATTTTATTTTGTATATGCGCAAAGCCATAGTGTCTTCTCATGAGCATAAGGAGTTGTCAGTGCGTTTAAATGTCTCTCCCATTGTCTCTCCCATAACTCTACCTATCCGTTTCGTTAGTGTGACGTCATCTTGATTCAATCATGCGTACTTCACACGGTGTAGCATAGCACGAATGGAACCGGAAGTTAACGCACCACAAGTGTTTATCCAATGGGCGCTAGTTATCAGTGGTGCGCGCCCGTGTTTGACGTTTTACTTATGAACCGGATACCATTGGGTGGGTGGGTACTCGTTCTTACTGGTTGGTGTGTTTAACGTGAAGTACGCACAACTAAGTTTATTCTGTATGTGCGCAAAGCCATCGCGTCATTGCGTGAGCATCAGGTGTCGTCAATGCGTTCAAATGTCTCTGCCAGCGGTCTCCCCTTTCTTACCGTTGAGGGGCTACTTGTGCACGGAGCCCTATATAGTTCAAGATGCTAAATAAAACAACTCATTGTTTACAGTTGGAATGCTACTTTCCAGACTGCTTATTAGGCCCTTTCATCAACCTTAGATGTTTGTTTGGATTGTTTTTCATGTCCAAAATTATACAGACTCACAGGCTATCCGCTCCGTTCACAAGTACCCTCTCACTGGCAAACAGAGTACAGTTGGGGGTGACCGCGAACGACGCCATCTTGCCTGACTGCAATTTTGCCGCGACGCGCGGCTGTACCACTGCGTGTACATAGTACAAATCCCCTGATGTACGTGCGTCACACACAAAGTACAAGGAACGGTGCGCGTCAACCAGCTAAATGCCCCACCCATGGGACGTCGTTGCTAGGTAAAAGGGCACCCTCTTTCGTTGGCGCACTGAGCTCATAGCATACAAATATTGACTTCTTTAATTGGTGAGGTAAAACTAGCCTCCTCAGGTGATCCATGGAGCGTTCTGTTTTTCCAAGGTGTATATAGCCGAGGGAAATGGAACCAATCAAGATACAGAATCTGTGGGTGAGGTGTTATGTCATATGCTGTGTGTTTTTATGATTGCAGGCCTTCATTGAGACACAGCCCATCCTGTCAGAGTGGAAGGCAGAGATACTTCGTTATCAAAGACTAGAGAGACAGATTGAGGAACTGGAGCCATCCGTACAGGTGGATGCCATTCAGCTCTTCACAGGTCAGTATTAACCCTCAGCAGTCTCATAGTAGAGGTATTTGTGATGGATCATAAGCACATCACAAGGGGAATGGATCATAAGCACATCACAAGGGGAACGGATCATAAGCACATCACAAGGGGAATGGACCAGAAGCACCTCACAAGTGGACTTGTGATAGATCATAAGCACATCACAAGCGGAATGGATCATAAGCACATCACAAGGGGAATGGATCATAAGCACATCACAAGGGGAATGGATCATAAGCACATCACAAGGAAACTTGTGATGGATCATAAACATATCACAAGGGGACTTGTGATGGATCATAAGCACATCACAAGGGGAATGGATCATAAGCACATCACAAGGGGAATGGACCAGAAGCACATCTCAAGTGGACTTGTGATAGATCATAAGCACATCACAAGGGTACTTGTGATGTATCAGATGTATCATAAGCACATCACAGGGGACTTGTAATGTATCATTAGCACATCACAAGTCCAGGCACAAGTAAATCACAGGTAACCGTGAATAAAGAACAGCAATGGAACGCCATTTTCACAGTCTATATAGCTTGTGAGTTGACTTGGGACTGGATGACTTGTGATGGACTTGTGATGGACTTGTGATGGACTTGTGTTGGACTTGTGATGGACTTGTGATGGACTTGTGATGGACCTGTGATGGACTTGTGATGGACTTGTGGTGGACTTGTAATGGACTTGTGATTGACTTGTGATGGACTTGTGATGGACTTGTGATGGACCTGTGATGGACCTGTGATGGACTTGTAATGGACTTGTGATGGACTTGTGATGGACTTGTGATGGACTTGTAATAGGGCTAGTGAACTTTTTTTTAAATGGTTGTATTTGTTTCAGAGATTGCTTTCATTGTAAAGCCCACCCAAAAAGAAAACAAATGATGGTAAAATTGCAAAAATTGACCCATGCAATCCAAAGTTATGGCCAAATATATGTCGATCAAATGACGTTATTTTGTATAGCAAATGTGTACGAAAATGGTGATTTTTTTGTGAAATTGAATAAAAAGGCATATTTGAACATTTGTTATGGTGTTAATAAGCACTTTGGTAAACTTTAACTTGTTTTTGTCCATTGTTTATCACAACTACTATTGGTTTCAGTTGGTTTTGAGTTGATAAAAAACATGATATGCAATAAAATGGATGTTAAAAATGTACTTTTACACTAAAAATCATGAACGGCAAGGTTGAAAAATGACTAAGTCCTACCCAAAAAGCACTAAAAGTAACAAAACTTCCATTCACTAGAACATATTTTCACCAAATTTGGATTACACAAGGATTGTGTGTAGATACAGCATGTGGACCCAAAAAGACCACAAAAAAAAATTAAAATCTAAAAAAAAAATCTACTTTTTTTGCTAATTTTTGGCCAAAATGGAGAAATTTCAGTCTGGCATGCGTAAACGTCCAATTCTCAATGCCCAAAATCCCCAAATTTGACAAAAATTTAAACAAAGATATAAAACTTGGGTATCCCATTTAGGTTATAAAACGAAGTTTCTCTCATATTTGGGTTATTTTATCCCATTTTGGTGCAAATCTCATAAGCCTAGTAATTTAGTAAAAAAAAGTATGCGCCGAGCGTAATGATTTCCCTGCGTAAATCCAATGGCCTAACGTTACATCAGTCATGTCAGTGCCCGTGCCCATCACATTTGTACACAAAAATCGTACATGCTATAGCCACCCAACAAACTTTAAAAACATCAAATTTCACTCTCAAAAACGGCCACAAAGTTATTAGATATGCTACCTGAGATACAAGCAGAGATCGATTATTAAGATCGAGGAACTACGATGTGGGCAAAAAGTGAAATGATCGCCGGTACTGCGGTAGCAAAAACACTCCGACTTCCTTTTCGTTTACACCACGTGCGATGGAGTCTGGACGGTTTCCGAAAACGAAGGACTTACACTGGTATCCACTAATATATTCTGACCGTGAGGGCCATGAAGGGAACCAGTGTAGAATATGCATTACGCGACAATAATACGCATCACGTGACAATGTTTTGGCTGCACTCGATCTCACACGTGATAATTTTCTGTTGCGTTTACATTATTGCGTGCCGGGAACGAAACAGTGATGCTTACACGACGCGCGCTGTCAAACAGAAGGCGCCATGATGAAAATCCATCGCGACACAAATGTGTCTATAACTCTAAAATAAGATCATATTTTGAAGGTTTAAAAAAAAACGATTCAAGCTTTGATATCACTTATTACAATTTTCAAGGTTCCATTTTTATTTTCAATGTATTTCGTGATGAAAAAGTTTTGGGAAAAACAAAAAGAATCGTAACTTTGCAACGCATAGGCCGATTATCATGGAACGTGGATGGTTGAATGGCATTTTCAATAAGCTTTCGACTGACGTATGGTTTCTTGACCTCTGCTATGCTACACTACCGTCGAAACCGAGTTAAACACAGTCACCAGGGCAGACAATTCTTGCCGTGGATCTTGAACGCATGGACCGGTCTGTGCGTGCCGCATGGCCCGTGAACGTAACATGTCATGCGCGCAGCATTTTTCGTACTCGGAGTTAAAATGAGACTTTTCAAACAGCAAAAACCAGTGTAATTTCGACTCAAATCACAATCACAATGGGAAAATATGTAAGTTTATTACATCATTGAACTATCTTTATAAATTACGAGGAATATTTCACAATTTTAACTTATAAATGGGGAATGAAAACATCCGACTTTTTGAAACAAAATCACCGGGCATGTGTATGTTGCGCGCATTCGTTTTGTACACAAAGTGATCACCGGCAGCAAACAGCGAGTGCGCGAGCCCTACTTGTAATGGACTTGTAATGGACTTGTGATGGACTTGTAATGGACTTGTGATGGACTTGTGATGGACTTGTAATGGACTTGTGATGGACTTGTAATGGACTTGTGATGGACTTGTGATGGACTTGTAATGGACTTGTGATGGACTTGTAATGGACTTGTGATGGACTTGTAATGGACTTGTGATTGACTTGTGATGGACTTGTGATGGACTTGTGATGGACTTGTAATGGACTTGTGATGGACTTGTAATGGACTTGTGATGGACTTGTAATGGACTTGTGATGGACTTGTACGGACTGGTGATGGACTTGTACGGACTGGTGATGGACTTGTACGGACTGGTGATGGACTTGTGATGGAGTTGTGATGGACTTGTGATTCATCACATGTTCCTTGACTTCAACACTCATCCTTGGCTGTAAAGTCAACTCATAATTTCATCCTTAGTGATGAAAATGTAAATTATTACACTTATTGATAAGCATTATGTGCCCACACACAGCTATAAAGGGTCTGTGCTTTAATTGGGCAAATATGACAGAAATAGCTTGCACAATGAAACTATGAAAGTAATCAAAGTGCCATAATAGCATAGTAAAAATACCATGATTCATCTGCACCAGTAACCAGACGGTTATGGTCTTAAGGCCAACCCAAGAAAGCTTGTTAACCCCTTAGCCCTTGTACCTCCCCAAACTGCCCTGGCTGTTACTCCTCATACCGCCCCAAACTGCCCAATCACGCTATGGTTTTATTGATTCAAGGAGGAGTAAATACAATGTAATACAATTTAGTACAAGTGCTTTTGGACAATTTTTGTGGGACAGTTCTGGGACAGCACTGAGTATATGGTGCTTATTTGATTACTTCACTGAAGGGGAAACCCAAATGTTTGTTCAGTTTGTATATTTCCTGTACCATGTATTTTGTTTTGTTTCAGATCCAATCAAGCTAGCGCTGACCATAGAAGCCCAGGCCTGGAAGATGCTCCTGGGCAAGTCCCTGAACCAGGAATACCGCAAGAAGATGGACGACATCTCCGACTTTGTGGCTGAGTATTCCAAGCGTCTGGCCCGGCCTATCAAGGACCTGGATGATGTCAGGAATGCCATGGGTGCATTGGAGGACCTCAGACAGAACGATATACGGATTGATATGACGCTGGGCCCCATAGAGGTGAGAACAACGGCCGATGTGGTGAAATTTGAGGCTATGTTAGCAATTGTCTAATGCATTAAGCCCTGCCCTATGATGTTTTGACCAAACATAGTCGTGAGCCATGTCTGACGTAGGTCTGACGCGTACATTTGACTATGATGCATCTATCTGGAACATGCAATATTACTGCCAAAGTGTATGGTGGGTTGTACTTACTTACTTGGTACTTGGTTGGTTCTTCTCCTAAGAACTTCCACAAAGGAATATAACTAGGAGGCCAGAAACACCGGGGCAAACCCCTTCTCTTGGCGATAAGTGTTACTGGGTTCTTTTACGTGTGTTAGGCCTTATACAACACACGGGACCTCCGGCTTAACGTCCCATCGGAAGGACGAAGCAATAATGGTTAAGTGCCTTGCTTAAGGGCACAAGTGTCCGGGCCCGGGCTCGAACCCACGCCACTGTTGCCTCAGAAACACCAGAGCATGAGTCCGGTGCTCTTAACCGCTAGGCCATGACACTCCACTTGGTTGTGCCAATGGATTGGTGTATCATTGACATTTAAACAATCACAGTCTCATTAAAATTGAAAAAAAAAAAAGGTTTTTTATTTCATACTAGCCCTTCTAGTTCCACTTTCACCATCTTAGTGGTGTGCCCAACAAGACATTTCCGGTAATAAAATCTGACTTGGTGTCGCACTGGGTTTTTTACTCTTACCTTCTTGAGTGCAGGATTTAAACATTTGATCCACTCTTTATGAAGCGTCCTGCCTTTTAAGCTCGTTAACCATTTTTGTTGATGATGTGTCTGCTGTTCTAATTTGCAAATCTTAAAAACAAAAAGAAATTACTGAGCACATCGGGTTTGTTGTGGTTTCGTGTTCCAGGAAGCGTACAACATGTTGCAGAAGTTCCAAGTGACTGTTGCCAAAGAGGAAGCTGACCGAGTGGACACGCTCAGATACTCCTACCAGAAACTCATCCTGCAAGCTGTAAGTACATATCACAGACATACCAGACATTGAAGCAGTATCAATCTTACAACAGTTCTCTTTGACTTTATAGATGGGTGGTTTCTTGCACTTCTTGATATGGACTATTGTTGCAGAATAACATAAACTGGTTGTAACTACAGTCGACTCTCGTTAATACATGTACAAGGTCCTTGGGACTTATGACATTATCTCGTATTATCAGACACCTCGTCTTAAGCGACAAGTATTTTTCGCGCACTCGCTGACATGCATCATGGAACGTTTATGTAGCTTATGCATAGGCCACATGCTCTTGTTGAAATTGTAATGAATTTGCGTTAAAAAGTTAAATCATGTTCAAGTTTAATCATAGATTTGCACTTACCAGACTGCAAAAAGTGCTCGTCTTAACCGTCATCTCGTATCACCCAAGCTCGTATTAAGCATTTTTTCCCCTCATAGTAATATATCCACACTTTGGTTGGGACTGGCGAAATATGCTAGTCTAAACCAGAATCTCAACTTAACCGTGCTCGTATTAACGAGTTTCAACTGTGCACTACTATTATTTTGATATAACCACCAATTTGGGATTTTGAAACAAAGTTGGAAGGTTGCTGAAAATTGGAAGTTCACTGATCTTGCACATGCTTAGTGTTTATTATGAAGGAAGTTGCAGATTTGTTTATGCTTGGCTATATCGGATTAAAGATATATGGTTGTTAATGTGTGGTGCGGGTCATCACCAAGATGTAGGATTACTGTGTATTGTTTGTTTGTTTGTTGCAGGGTAAGACTCAGACCACGTTGGTCAAGATTCAGCCTGAGTTCAAAGCTGATCTACTGGAGTCTGTTGAGACATTTTCCAGCACCACACAAAACTTCTTTGATGATTACGATATGGTATGTCAACTATTCAAAGTTTAACACTGACTGCCCTTAGTGGAGTATAGAATGTAATAGTTTGAGGTCTCGAATGAAGTCTAGAATGTAATGCATTGATGGACTGGGAAGCAGCCTCACTTTGCTCTTGTACAGCTTAATCGTGCCTTCCCTGGTAGGGAAGCTGAGGCATGGAACATTTCCCATGGCGAGGTATAGTCTTTTAGTTCATCACCATTTTTGTGACCAGTGTTTGTTGTGTTCATTTCAGGGTGGCCCGATGGTGGATGGCATTTCCCCACAAGAAGCCAGTGACAGACTGCAAGTGTATCAGGTATATTACACTTCCTTCGCATTATCTGGGGAATACTCACAAGAAATTAATTTTGCGTCTAGCTGATGAACAAACCTACATTGAACCAAAGGAGTTGTTTTGAAGTTTCAACAGCTAGGAACCCCTGCTGAGCTTTTAAATCCTTCAGCACAAAGTTGGAGTGTCATGGCCTAGCGGTTAAGAGCACAGGACTCGTGCTCTGGTGTTTCAGAGGCAACAGTAGCATGGGTTTGAGCCCGGGCCCGGACACTTGTGCCCTTAAGCAAGGCACTTAACCATTATTGCTTTGTCCTTCCGATGGGACGTTAAGCCGGAGGTCCCGTGTGTTGTATAAGGCCTAACGCACGTAGAAGAACCCAGTAACACTTATCGCTAAGAGAAGGGGTTTGCCCCGGTGTTTCTGGCCTCCTAGGTATACTCCCTTGTGGAAGTAGTTAGAAGAACCAACCAAGTAAGTAAGTAAGTTACAAACTTTATAGTCTAGGCTTGCAAACACAAATTAAAAGCCATTACTTAAGTGGAAAAGTGTCACGTGCATTCTCAAAGTCGAGCCGTGCATGCATTTTGGCAACCCTGTTGGTCAAAGTAGCACTGGTTGTGTGGGAACCACATAACAGCAAGTGTGGTTCCACAGCAATGGCTGGTCACTTAATTCGGCCATAATTGTTGGAGTATTTGAAAATAATTGGCCCTACCATTGAAATAAAATCTATCGCTTGGTTTTTTTTTTTTATATTTGACAAGACCCGTTTTGATGAGCTGTGGCGTAAATTCAGCACCTACTCGGCCGGCGAGCAACTGTTTGGCCTGACTCAGACCGAATACCCAACGCTGGCCAAGACCAAGAAGGAACTGAACTTACTGCAGAAGCTGTACGGTCTGTATAACGCCGTCATCGATGGGGTCAATGGATACTATGACATACTGTGGACTGAGGTGGACATTGAGAAGATCAACAACGAATTGCTGGACTTCCAAAACAGGTCGGTTGCTCATAGAAATTGGCTGGTGACAGGGCCTTCTCTGTTGCCGGCCCCGGCTATGGAACAACCTGCCCATCTCCATCAGAAACTCAGGCAGTGTCTTTTCCTTCAAAAAGACTCTCGAGACCTACCTTTTCCCCCAAACGTAGCTGCATGTCCTTTAGTTGTTTTTGTCTTCTGTTCCTCCTTCTTCTTTTCTAGCGCCTTGTATTCTTTGGTAATTTGGCGCTATACAAATCCAGTTATTATTATTAGAATAGTCCATTGTATGTAGGTGACCATCTCGCTTAAAAAGTATGAGGTACAGGTTGCAAATTTTGTACTTTTGTACTGTGGATATTTTTTTGGGGGGAGGGGGAATTTCCAGTAATAAATGTGTAATTCCTTACACAAATGGTTTCATCAGGAACTAAATACTATGTGATACATCATACAAGTGGTAATGGATAAACCTAGTGATGAGGAATAGACTGTTTGCATACAGCGCCATCTTAGAGATGTTTTGTCCTCTTTTTAAAACAGTAACGATGAATGCACAAAACGTCTACTCACGTATGCGTATCCTTGTAGAACAAAATCACGCATATAAAGGACGGCTGCAATTGAATTGTTAATTTTTGTTATTCAACTGGCCTCCAAAATACCAGCAGTATTGCAAAGTCTCTATTTTTTTGTGGTAGATTTTTCAGACTTAAATCTGAAATCAGGGTTTTTGAATCTGAGAGAAAGGTATTATCGGTATTGGGAAAAAATGCATCTTTCAGATCTTTGGGTTGCACGGGTGGCTTGTACGTCAAGAGCTCGCCTCTCACCACTGTGGCCCTGGTTCGAATCCCGTCCGCGGACCATACATGCATACATACATGAGTAGAGTTGTGCATATTACCCATGAGTAGAGTTGTGCGTTGGTTCTCTCCTAGCCAGGAGGGTTTTTCTCCGGGCCCTCTGGTTTTCCTCCTTCCAGAAAAATCAAACACTTTCGATCTCAGGCTGTGCTCTGTGGTCATATATGGGTCGATGTGGCCGGCAGCCATAGGCGCCTTTACATGCCTGCGGCTTGACCGCGGTGTAGCCGCGTCCTGCGCAATTCAGCTTCTCAGCTGCCGGTAAGGATGATAAGCTTCCCAAATTATTGCATCCAATTTTTAGACTTTAAAAAAAATTGACAATTTCAGTCCTATCAGCTGTCTTCCTTAAAACAGAGCGATGCATAACAGCAACTCTTGTTGTTTATTGTTTAGGTGTCGGAAGCTGCCCAAGGGGCTGAAAGAGTGGCAGGCCTTCCTGGACCTGAAGCAGAAGATTGATGACTTCAACGAGACCTGCCCGCTGCTGGAACTCATGGCTAACAAAGCCATGAAGGAGAGACACTGGGAACGCATGGCCAACGCCACGGGGCACACGTTTGACATTGAGTCAGATACGTTCTGTCTGAGGAATATCATGGAGGCTCCTCTGCTGCCACACAAGGAAGACATTGAGGTATTCAGTGCGACTCATCACCACAAAATGAGCATAAAGTTGAACTTCTTAAAGGGACACTGGGTCCTGGAACAGCCCAATTGGGCTTCAAAACGCGCTTTGAAGGAGATGATGTTTTAAAAGTACGATATAAACATCCACACAACTATCCTTTCAAAACTGGGTCTTTTTTAGTTATACCTGTATTATGCGTGTGAAAACGAATTTCGGGGTCCACTTTTGCGACCCCATAAATTTGAGCTGTTTTGATGCTAGTTGTGATTTCATTCGTAAAGTGTTTGCTTTTTGCGGACGTTGAAGAAACTATATTTTTTGCATTGGTGATTGGTCACCACTGTTCCTGAGACACACAACGTGTATATCGTACACTGAGGACGACACGATAAACGTATTCGTACTCCGTCTCGCTTTTTGCGGACGTTGAAGAAACTATATTTTTTGCATTGGTGATTGGTCACCACTGTTCTCGAGACACACAACGTGTATATCGTACACTGAGGACCACACGATAAACGTATTCGTACTCCGTCGTGTACGATGTAAACAACCGGGTTTTTTTTTTTTTTTCTCGGGAACGGTAAGACATTAGGTTGGTTTCCTTTCAACTAGATGTTTGAAATAGTATTGAGATGTTTTTAAGTCAGGATTCTTCAGGTCAAGAGGTTTCTAATTGTTTATAACATTTTAGGTACTAAGTTTAGTAACAGGAAATACAGACCACCAGTTCAAGTTGTAAAACCAATTTTCGAGAAAGTGACGTTTGAAGATCCCAGTGTTATGTCACAGTGCATGAACAGTCAACCTATAAAGCAGGATGAAAATAGGTTAAAAAGATGTTTAATGGAACCAGATAAAATAGGGAAAGGTAGAACAAGACTTGCAGATTGAAAAAAAAAAATCAACTACCCCTTCAAATTTTGGCTTTGCTCCACTGTACCAACCTCGTTCTCCCATGGGTACGAGATCTTGCTGTGCCATGTTGTTTCCCATCATGTCTTTGCGCGATCTCAACCCCTGGATTTGTCACATTTAAATGTGTCAAAATATGGCACATTATAATTAGGCTGCAGTTTATCCGTTTTACATGCCGATGCCATCTTTAAAAAGTTGTGATTTTGAAGAATCAATCCTTTCAAATATAAGGTTTGGACATTGCGTTATTTAGCAAAGATTTGTATTAAATGTACGTACCCCTTTCATCCCTTTACAACTGAAGATACAGGGGGTTTTTTAGCGAAAAACGAGGCTGCCATAATCCATTTTGCATTTTGACACCGCATGTTCAAGAAATGCGTGTCATAAGCCCATGCACGCATGTCAGAGTTTTGGGCACGCTTGTTGGACATTGGTCTGGGCTTTAATTGGTCAAGATACAGTTGGGTGGGGATTAGTGGATCAGTGTATTTTGAGCAGCTATTCATAACAGATCAACGGTTGCAGTTGTTTTAAATGACTCCAGAGTCCAGTCAAGGGAATATTAGTACACAAATTTCTCCTGTCTGCAACCAAATTCTATTTAGAGCGACGTGAATCTCTCCAAAATACATTTGAACTCTGCACGACTCTCAGACACCTGTCTGGAACAGGTGTAATTGACGGAAACTTAGCTCTCAAATAGTTTAATGAGCCACATCTGCCTTCTCCCCTCCCCAGGATATCTGCATCTCAGCAGTCAAGGAGAAGGACATCGAAGCCAAGCTGGCCCAGGTGGTCGTAGAGTGGACCTCCCAGCAACTCTTCTTTGCCAACTTCAAGACCCGCGGGGAGCTGTTACTGAAGGGAGGCGAGACTATGGAGACAGTGGCACTCATGGAAGACAGTCTCATGGTGCTGGGATCTCTGCTCAGTAATAGGTAAAGTAAAGTCTGTCGCGAGTCCCCGGCCTTGTTTTTCAAGTCATAACACTGCCCATTACACTCAAACAAAATCCTGGTGGTAACCCTGACATCTGATTGAAGTTAACAAAAAGTACATTTTTGTTGAACCGGCAGAGTTGAAATTGAGGCCTCACAAGTCTATCAGTGAACATTTGGCCTGTGAACAATGACAAAGGCTTTCTATTTTCTTCATCTCATGTTTAGCTGATCGTTTTTTTTTATTGACTTGTGATTGGACTTGTGCTTGACTTGACAACAATTTGTACAACTCTAGACATGACTTTGTGTTTCTTGCAAATTCATGATTGAAGTGAATTCATTTGGGTAATGATGAATATCACAAACTATAATAATTTATCTCATAACATTGGTTGCTTTTCCCCCTTTTGTGTAAATCAACTGTGACCTTAATGAGTCAGAGAACTGACTTGACATTTCAAACATGGGCTTACACAGGTACAACGCTCCGTTCAAGAAGGACATTCAGACGTGGGTGCAGAAACTGTCCAACTCCTCTGACATCATTGAGAACTGGCTGACAGTGCAGAACCTGTGGGTGTATCTGGAGGCTGTGTTTGTGGGTGGGGATATCGCCAAGCAGCTGCCTCAGGTAGGGAACAGTTGCCTTTATGAAGTCCCTCAAGTAGCCCTCACACAGTTACAAGTACCTCTCACACAGTCTTTGCCATCAAAGACAGTACAGTGGAACGTCGCTATAACCAACATCGTGGGATCCACAGAAATTGTTCGTAATAACGATCGTTCGGTATAGCACTTTTCACACATTAGTAGCGCCCTCTTTTACTTATTGTTATTGTGTAGTTGCATTTACAAACCGCGCGCGGAGTTGCCAAACTTGTCCATTAATATTTTCAATTCCGTAGCAGAACTTCACCAAGTACGCCCTGGTAGTTACTAGAAGACGACTTCGAACGCGTGCGACTATTGATTCATGTAATTACACTGTTTTGAATAATAGCCATTTGTCGCTCTTCTGTTGACATTTCCAACAACAATGTTCGGTACATTTTGTACACAAAAATTGGGAGCCAAGGACGATGGTCGGTATAGCCGAATGTTCGGTATAGCGGTGTTCGGTATAGCGACGTTCCACTGTATGAGTTTGTGCATAAACCAATCTTGCACATGTAGCTAAATGTTCGCGTGAACCAGTGCATGCACTGTTAATTGGGATTTCTTTTTCTATTTGTAGGAAGCCAAGAGGTTTGGCAACATTGACAAGTCCTGGGTGAAGATCATGCAGCGTGCTCATGAGAACGACAACGTGGTCCAATGCTGCGTCGGGGATGAGACACTAGGACAACTGCTGCCTCACTTACTGGAACAACTAGAAATCTGCCAAAAATCACTCACTGGGTAAACAAAAAAATCAGCTTCACTATTTTCTTGCAAATTGTGCCACAACCTTGCTGTTACAGTTTTGTTGATAATCTATTTTTCCCGTTGACACAATATAGCTCAAAGATTTCATTGATTGTACAATTTCACTAAATTTGATGCCATACCACAAAGGAATCTTGACCTACTGTAGGCAAGTTCCTACTCAGCTCAAAAACGAATGCAATTTTTGAATGTGTGATGTCCAACAAGTTTTCATGCAGCAAATTCCCAAAACAGCTTTCAACAACGGCAAATTTCGCATTTCATGATGGCAAATACACTTCGCATTCGCATTAAGTGTGAACCACCCTATCCCCTTTTAGACCAAAATTCTCTCATAGTTTTTGTAACTTTCATATTTCCCCAATATTGCAGGCATGCAACTTTTCCTCGGATCAGCTGATTTCCTCTTTTGTTACTTCCCATTTGTGCCATTGAAAATAGAAAAACACTTCACAAAGTCTGGGAAAAATTTGAATTTCCTCTTTTTTTGTGATTTCCCAGTTGCATGCCTGAATATTGAAAGATATTCTATCAGTCAAAACCAGCAGTGTTTTATACCAAAAGAAAGCATTTTGCTGTTGTGTCAATATCGACATCTTACACAACTTAATTTTTTGGTTGCTTCTCTTATAAGGGTGGTTTCTGCCTCACGTGAATGCAAATGTGATTTTAGGGTTTTTGGTCGGAAAAAGTCAGTGGGGCTTAAATGGGTTCAACTTTTGCGAATTTAAAACGGCAAAACTTGTCACGACGTCAAAAATGTGTAGATCACGTGTCGGAAGTTGACCTATTTTGTTAAAATCATCTTTACTTAGATATTGTTTGTTTCTCTTTGGTACAACAGGTACTTGGAGAAGAAGCGACTGGTCTTTCCACGGTTCTTCTTTGTATCTGATCCTGCTCTGCTTGAGATTCTGGGTCAGGCCAGTGACTCGCATACCATCCAGGTAAGTCCCAGTAAGTAGGGTTGAGTCCTATCCAAGCCCTGCTTGTGATGTGAATCTATTCTTGCAAGCTCTCATCAGGCAGCACTGAGTATCGGTGAAGGGCAAAACCCAAAGTTAAATTTACGTCTCCCCACACAGCACCATCATATATGTCAAACTAAACAAAAAAATTTGATGTTGTACATTTGTAATTTACATATTTTACCGATATTAAGGGGTTCTCTACCTCTAAATCTGAAGTTAAATTTTGGATTTGCCAAATACAAATCTAAAAGCCTTTGGTGCATGTTGATATTTATATTAATTTTCTAGTTGTTATTTCTTTTCTTTTTTCATTGATTTTATAATTTTTCTATCAGGGTACCATAAGTGTAGATGTATTTGATAAATCTGTGGGTTTCTATTATGATAACATTTCATTGAAGTGTAAATGATATTGATTTTCCTTGTAGGCTCATCTGCTGGGAGTGTTTGAGAATGTGAACGAGGTGGAGTTTCATGAGAAGGACTACGATCGCATCATTGCCTGCATCTCCAAGGAGGGGGAGGTGGTACCTGTAAGTCTGTGTTTCAGTCTTGTAATCGAGTGCATTCTGAGTCCTTAGTTTTATCACAATCCATCACAAGTCCATCACAAATCATCCAGTCCCAAGCCAAGTCACAAACTTTTGAACTGAACTATCAAACAGGCATTCCTTTGTTATTGTTCATCAACTGTTACTTATGAATTGACTTGTGACTGGACTTGTGATTTGATTGTGACTGGTTTTGTGATGGACTTGTAATGGACTTGTGATGGACTCAACACAATATCTATTGCAATTTCACATTTATTCTTTTAAGGATTGAAATGTGTTTTTTAAATTTTTTTTTACTGTTTTGTGGAACTGAGCATCTCTGTGAAATGCTGTTAGGTTCATGCCCTTTTGCTGAAAATACTAACATTCTGAATTTCAAAACTGAATTTTAGTCATCTCTACCGTAGAATATTTATCATGGGCACATGTGGTCAAGCAGTGGAGCACAGGATTAATGATCGTGAGGTTGTGGGTTCGAGCCCCGCCGTGGCCATGCGTGTTGTGCCCTTGAGTAAGGCGCTTTACCTCAATTACTCCTCTCAACCCAGGTGTTAAATGGGTACCGGTATTATTCAATGCTGGGAAGGTAACAGATTCACTGTGGAGGAGGTGTGGCGATCCCCCCACAGCAGCATATGAGTCTGGCCCAATCGCTAATGAAAGAGAGATGGGCACTCCGTTCCTGTTTACACAGGTTTGCCCCCCTTTACTTTTTTTATCATGCTGGATGATTTTATTGGCCAATTAAAATTGATAAGTGTTGATGATGAGTGTTTTTTATTTCAGTTGGACCAGCCAGTGATAGCTAAGGGTAACGTTGAGATGTGGTTAGGTGAGTTACTGACCTTACAGCAGAAGTCACTACACTCTGTCATCAGAGATGCCTTCCGAGTCATCAATGATTCCTCCTTTGAGCTGCTGGGATTCCTCAATAACTACATAGCACAGGTTAGGCCAAAAAAAAAAGTATCCGGTTTCTGGTATGGAGCTTGCCCAAAAAGTGGTGCGGCGACGCGTTTTTTTTTTTTTTTTACCTGATTTTTTTGCTTCAAATGTCGGCTGATGACTGCAAATGGTGCCCGACTAAACTTAGTGCAAATATATGGGGTCCAGAGAGGCCACATAATTTCATAAAGCTTATTCTCGACCATAACCCAATCTAAAAACACGTTAAAATTATGCAGCAGCAGGATTACAGGCTAACCAGTGAGTTTGGCGGTTTTGAGACATCATCTTTCATTGAAAAAAAACTTTTTTCATTTTGCCAACGCGCATGGCTACGGCGATGCGCGCGCATACCGGAGACTTTTTTTGGGGGGCCTTAGGCTCAAATGTCAAATGATATCCACCACTTTACTTTTTGTAGTTAGCCAGAAATATTTTGAAAAGTGTCTTTGCCTCCCCCCCCCCCCAAAAAAATTCTTGCCCCTCCCTTCAGGTTTTTAGAGTGTGATGCTACCACTGCTTAACAAGTCCTGCCGTCTTGTAAACTGATAATTTTGGATGGCAATTGGTATTGTTATGAAACAAGTGATCATCCTTGGCTACATTTTGTAAGCCTTTGTGAAATGAAATGAGAAAATGATTTGACATCACGAGACATCTACAGTGAAATTCACCAGAGGTAAATTGTGTTCAACTGTTGCGAATCACAGCATGAATACTTGCCATGATGCCACGATTTGCCAAAATTACATTCTCATTTGTTTTCATGCAGGAATACGAACGTGTCTTTAGATACTGTCTTAATACTTGCCTCAGTTTTCAACAAACAGGTTTCCCCATCATATTTCCTGCTGCACGCATGTGTAACAGATAATCACTGAAACGTGACCACATCGTAGGCTTTGCGTCTTTACTGTGCATCAAGTTTGCTCTTGCACTCATGGAACTAACAACATTATTCCTTGTCCACTGATGCTCGTGGGAGAACTAATGATAATTATCTATTTTGTACCTTCTTAGGTTGGTCTGCTAGGCATTCAGATGCTGTGGACCCGCGATGCTGAAGACGCCTTGACTGTAGCTAGATCAGACAAGAAGATCATGCAAGTCACTAACGTCAAGTTCCTGGACTTGCTCAACACACTGATTGAACAGACCACACATGACCTGACCAAGATGGAGCGAGTCAAGTATGAGACGCTGGTTACTATCCACGTACATCAGAGAGATATCTTCAATGATTTGGTAAGTCCATTCGGAGGGGACATCATTTGTATTATAAGGCGAGTCAAAAATAACAAAACCCAAATGTCGGGACCGTTGTTTTAGTGAAGTTCTGGATGTAGCACTTTCAAAATCTAGGATATAAGAGCCCAATTCATAAGCTTTCTTTAAGTACAAGAATCATTCAAATCACTCATGTACTTTTCAAGTTACGGAATTTTAAACACAACCACCGCTTTAAAGTTCTGTCCACGGATCACAAGAAGGTACTTGTGTTCTTTCAGCAAAACGACAACAAAGCGCATAGGGATGTGTTTGAATTTTTTCGTTTTGCTGAAAGAACGCACACCTTTTTTGTGATCCGTGGACAGAACTTTAAAATGGTGGTTGCGTTTAAAATTCCGTAACTTGAAAAGCACATGAGCGATTTGAATGATTCTTATATTAAAAGAAAGCTTTTGAATTGGGCTTTCATATACTAGATTACAAAACTTCACTAAAACAATAGTCCGACATTTGGGTTTCGCTTTTTTTGACTCACCCTGTATTGTATTACATTGTATTTTGTTGTATTACATTGTAATTCGTCCTATTACATTGTAATTCGTCCTTTATGAATCTGTAAAAATCATATGGTGCTGGGGCTGTTTGGGGCGTAATAGGGGGTGATAAAGCAGGGTGGTTTCTGTCTGTACAGGGACTAATGGGTCAAAGGCTGTGACTCCTCCATCTTCAATGACCTTGATTCAAAAGAAATCAACTAATGATTGTTAGCAATAGACAAGCGGACTTGATATTTTTCCATGACTAGATTTATTGATGCTTCCTCATGATTTTAAGTCAGTAAAACCATGCCTGCTCACGAAAACACACTCAAAATGGCAGGCCATTTAGAGTCTGATACTGGCCAGCGCGTGGATCATCAGAATGACCTATTAAGTAGGGGTTAACCTAATTTACCAGTGTATCAATAGGATGCTGCATTAAGTGTGACGCATGAGTGTGCAGGAAAAGTAGGCTGGCCAATCGAACTATAGGGGAGGTAGTACAGCTAAATCCCGGTTCATACTCGGCGCGAACGCGAATTTGTGACGTGTCAAGTATTCGCGATGCGAATTCGTAAAAGTTGTGCACATTTTAACTCTGGCGAATTTCGCAGTGAACGTTTACAAAATGACGTCAAGTGTGCTTCTCATTCGCGTTGAGTATGAACCGGGCTTAAGACAAACAGCTGCCAATAAGATGATAGAAGCATGAGGTCGTTGCGTGACCCTCATATATTATAAACATGTGTTGTGAGGTCAGGTCTCTGGTTTCATTTAATTTCTTAATTTATTTTTTTAATCCACAGACTGTCCAGCACATCCGTTCACCCACTGACTTTGAGTGGTTGAAGCAAGCCAGATTCTACTTCAAGGAGGATACTGATCAGTGCATTGTGTCCATCACTGACGTTGACTTCATCTATCAGAATGAGTTCCTGGGCTGCACGGATAGACTGGTTATTACACCTCTCACTGACAGGTAGATTCAATCAAGATCAATATTTAGTTCCATAATGCTGTTAGGTCTGTATAACATTGAAATATGTGTCATAAATTATAATAGAAGGTAAATATGAATCACATTTCCATTAGATGTTAAATGAATAATGGCAATTATGAAATGAAGGCCATTAGGTACATACATAGTATATGTTCTTTATGACTTGTGATTGACTTGTGATTAACTTATGACTTGACTTGTGATTAACTTACGATATAACTTGTGATTGACTTGTTATTAATTTACGATATAAGTTGTGATTGAGTTACGATTTGACATGTGATTGACTTACCATTGGAGTTCTGATGTCTAATGGTTTGATTTGCGATTGACTTATGACTAACTTACAGTTTGACTTTTGATTGACATATGATTAGCTTGATCACATCTATGCTTCTTTGATAGATGCTACATCACCTTAGCCCAGGCTCTGGGTATGAGTATGGGTGGAGCCCCTGCAGGCCCAGCAGGTACAGGCAAGACAGAGACCACCAAAGACATGGGCAAAGCACTGGGCAAGTATGTAGTGGTCTTCAACTGCTCTGATCAGATGGACTACCGAGGACTGGGACGAATCTATAAAGGTAAACCCGGTGTTAGTGGATGAGGGAGTTTTCAGTGAATCCATTTGCAGGGGTACATCATTGTATTACAGTGTAGCTATTTCCTGATGAATTTATAAAATCATACAGTGATGGAGCACTTTCGAGTTACAGGGAACACGGATCCTACACTACAGGATCAACGACTTGGCCCAACTCCTGGTTAGACGTGTGATAACGGCCCGTACTGGTGGCAAATACCATGAATACTTGTCAACAAAGACCACTGCGCGCGGTGGCTTTCAGATTTGCATGGCTCTGCGCCCGATCTGGTGTTGAAGTCAGTCAAGCCAGCTAATTTTATTTTTGAGTATTCATGAGTCTACGTTTTTGGTCTTTATTATTGAATTCTGATAAGTGATAATTTCATAACCCTCTTAATACCGAGCACAGTATCTTAAGCTTTAAAATGAACAATGAAATGTCGCTTTTTTTTCATTGGTTCGGGATCACATCTGTCTAAAACTTCTTAATGAAAGCCTAAATAAAAACTAAATTTGGGTAAACGGTGTTCTTCTTGAAATTTGACGTTTATTTTCCGGGTAAATACTGCATCTATGACGTCAAAAACTGCACAATACCATCTGTTATGTCCTGAAGTATTTATTTTTAAACAATTTTGGAAGAATTATGTCCTACATAAGGAGTAGTTTTGCATACAGTTTTATGAATATTTCCGTTTTAGATGTCATGCAAAAACCCAACACAATGGCACACCTGGAAAATTCACGATTGTAAGCCAACAGGTATTAATTCCCGTTATTACGCGTCTAACCAATTAAGGCAAGTCCACTCAGTGCATTTTGTACTGGAGCTCAGAACAGTCGTTTATCCTTCTGTGTAGGATCCGTGCAGGGAATAACAGGCAGGTGATTTGGAGTGGCATAGGGACTTAACAGGTTTAATGTTAGGACCTTCTGGAGGGAATGGTTGGTGTCTGACAGTCATTCACATTCAAAATATGAATCATGTGTACTTGCGCCATAAGCACACCAGCCAGTGCCAGCGTATAATGGGCCCCTTACTGTACACTGGAGATCTTGCGAGCTGTGATGAAGCACCATCCACAGTTCATACTCGGATACAGTCCATTGTCCACATTGCTCTATGTGCTTGCAGGTCTAGCCCAGTCAGGTAGCTGGGGCTGCTTTGATGAGTTCAACCGTATCGAGCTGCCAGTGCTCTCAGTAGCTGCACAGCAGATTGCCATTGTCTTGATGGCCAAGAAGGAAAGGAAGAGTGAGTTTATCTTCTCAGACGGTGACGTCGTGTCTCTCAACCCAGAGTTTGGCCTCTTCTTGACCATGGTAAGCTTTATGTGGATCACCAGGGGCCAATTTCATAGCGCTGCTAAGCACAAAAATTTGCTTAGCACAAAAAAGTCTGGCTTATAAAAAGCAGGTTACCAGCCAAATGTCCATGTGATGTATATTGCTTGTGATTGGTATTCAGCTGTTGTTTGCTTAGCATGAAAATCACGTGGAGTTTTGGCTGGTAACCTGCTTTAATAAGCCAGACTTTTTTGGGCTAAGCAAATTTTTGTGCTTAGCAGCACTGTGAAATTGGCCCCAGATACTTGGAGAAGGAAAGAAACCCAATTTAGATATTACCACATCTCAGAACAAAAACATTTAAAAGTTGAGACACTACCAATGTAGATAGGGCTTAGATGATTTTGTAGAGGTAGCTGGTTCAGTCATACACTAGGATGTAGTCGAGTCCATCACAAGTCCAGTCACAAGTAAATCATGAATCCATTCACAAGTCCAGTCACAAGAATCATCATTTTTATTATTATTAAACGGAACGAATCCGGTAGAGTGGGAAAAGTGCAAGCACTATAAGTTGCCTTACAGCAACCCCCACACACCTGAAGTGTCGGCGAAGAAAACAAAAACAAGAGACAACATTGAACATTAAAGAAACGAGAAAACTAGAACACGTGTGATCGACAAAAAAACTGGACAATAACGAGCAACACTAGGAAAAAATGCTTGAACAACAACAAAGGAATGCCCTTGTCATAGCTCATGTGAATAGCTTGTGAGCTGAATTGGGACTGGAGGACTTGTGATGGACTTGCAGGGACTTGTGATGAAATCGACTACATCCCTGGCCATACATTCATCAGTTACTTAAAATAAGTGATGACAAATGGTCTCAAGCCAGGACATGACTTTGTTTTTTTTTGAAAGATATTCGTGAATTTGTTACTCTGTTTTTTTTCTCTGTAGAACCCTGGCTATGCTGGCCGTCAGGAGCTACCAGAGAACCTGAAGATTCAGTTCCGTAGTGTGGCCATGATGGTCCCTGACAGACAGATCATTATGAGAGTCAAGCTGGCCAGCTGTGGATTCCAGGAGAACGTACTCCTGGCTCAGAAATTCTACACACTCTACAAGCTCTGTGAGGAACAACTCACTAAACAGGTAATGAGAAATCACAAAGGGCTTGTCAGTCTGTCTGACCTATTAGTTTTCTGACTCTTGATTGACTGGGAACATCTCATGATGCTAACTGCAGATTCCTTTCAAGTGTTGCAGTCAGCAGTCACAGATGTATTTTTTGTTGTTGCTGCAGCAAGCCTTCAGGATCTTCAAGCAGAATACTTGTTTAGTATATAGACTGAAGACCAGTTCATACTTCATGTGAATGTGATGTGGATTTGACATCATGAAACAATCGCAGCAAAAATTCACCGGAGTTGAAATGTGTTCAACCCTTCGTGAGTTCGCAGCATAAAAACTTGACACGACGTGACATGATGGTGCTATGTGGCTTTGTTTCTTGTCCACACAGGTTCACTATGACTTTGGTTTGAGGAACATCTTATCAGTGCTTCGTACTCTAGGGGCCAACAAGCGAGCCAGGCCTGAAGACAGTGAGTCTACCATCGTCATGAGGGTCCTGCGAGACATGAACCTATCCAAACTGGTAAGACATGGGCAATACGTATACCTTTGTGTAGTCGAGTCCATCACAAGTCCGTCACAAGTTCGTTCTCAAGTAATAGGTGATGAACTTTAATAAGGGAATGCCTTTGTCACAGCTGACTTGAATAGCTTGTGACTTGACGGACTGGATTACTCGTGATATGAGGACTTTTAAGGACTTTTGATGGACTAGACAGTAAGCCACACCTTGTCTTTATACAGGGTGGATTAAAAAAAATGAAACCGAGATATTATTGCTAATTGGAATAGAAGTAGGGCACATGTGAATCAAAGGGAGATATCCTCTGTTAGGGTTGAATCTCCTCTTTAAAATGACACCCTGATCATGTCATTACATTAATGGTTGACTGAGCAGTGCCCAATTTTATGAAAGGGTCTATTTAGAGACTTGCGCCACTTTTCTTGGTGAAATCTTTTTTTTCCCCACCTGCCTTAAGTGCAACCATAGCCTTTCACTCTGTGACAATTGACACAACAAAAACCACAATTGAAAAGTGGCGCAATTCTCTAAAGAGACCTTTTCATAAAATTGGTCACTGCTCAGTCAACCGTGAATGTAATGACATGACCAGGGTGTCATTTTAAAGAGGAGATTCAACCCTAATAGAAGATATCTCCCTTTGATTCACATTTGCCCTACTTCTGTTCCAATTAGCAATAATGTTTCGGTTTCGTTTTTTTTGATCCACCCTGTAGAATGAAGAATGGTAGATACTTTGACAGTAAAAGTACACTTTACACTGCATTGCTGGGTGATTTTCATATACAGCACTGAGGAAACTAAATTCACTACAAGCTTAAGGAACCCCAAAGAAAAAAGAAGTACATTTTTTCCAAATTTTACAGAAACTCCTACAGAACACTACTGCACTGTCGTTTTTTTCTTGGAGATTGTCTTGAACAAATTGACTGTGAATAAACCATTCCAGAGTTTGTCATAAGCCCTGCTCACCTGTTTGGATTGTGTTTATTACTCACATTTGTTGGGACCGAATTGGAGCAATCAATCATGGTCACCTGGCCAAAAGTCATTAATTGGGTGATGTTGTTTGATTTGACAGGCAGGAAGAGTCCACTGTCTTGTGAGACGGCCCTTAGTGCACTTTCAAATTCTGACACAATTTCTATCTCTGTCTGTTTGTGATTAGGTTGATGAAGACGAGCCTCTATTCCTGAGCTTGATCAGTGATCTCTTCCCCGGCATTCAGCTTGACAATGCAAGCTATGAGGAATTACAGGTGGCTGTGGCCAATCAAGTAGATGCTATGGGAGTCATCAACCATCCAGCTTGGAATCTCAAAGTGGTTCAGGTATTTGGAAACTCTCATTTCCCATATTAACTCTTTTTCAGTACCAAATTAATTGCCATAATTCGACAAAATTAAAACGATGTGGTATGACCTTCAAACAAAATGTTTTGGCTTGTCATATAGATCAATCCAGACAAGCTATCGCTTCTAACACAGAGGCCCCCTTAAATGGTGAAAGCATTGTGCTAGCTATAAGATTTTAGGCTTTGCATGGTGGAGTGTCAGTATCGTTTTGGTTTGCGGCAACACCATGTGGTAATAACTACTGTCGCTCAGTAGATATTTAGTTCTGATAAGAACTTGTCCTGCTTATTATCAACTTTCGCTAAGTAGTTTTTAGTTCTGATAAGAACAGTCCTGCTTCAAGTTCTAAAAGAACTTGTCTTTGGTCTAAACGTTTCGACTAGCCTGCTCTAGTCATCGTCAGGAGACTGAGGAGAGTTGTGCTAGCTATTGTGCTAGCTATTGTTCAGATAATCTGTCATGGGGCAGTTACTTTGTACAATAGCTAGCGCAGTGGTTTCTCTATTGAAGGGGGCCTTGTGAGTGTAAAGTGATCATGTGACCAGATATTTACAAAATCTCTGTGGACTCTTTGTAGAAAATGTTGATGGTTTTTCATGACCTATTTACAAAAGCTAATTGAGACTGCATTGCATGCAAGCATTTGTCCATTCGCACAACTGTGCTGAGTGTGACGCACCAATTCCTAACTGTGTGAGTATGTGAACACCGGCAATCGTGGACCTAGGACAAAAGGGTTAGGGCACAAACAATACATCCACGATTGACCGAACGTCCACGATTGAAAATCATTTACAAAACCAATGAGAGCTGTAGCTAAAAAGTTAAGAGTACAAACATAGGAATGAGGATTAGGGACAATAGGGGGTCTACGATTGCCGGTGTTTACGAAGATGTGTGTGTTGGCGGGATTATGTCATGGAAAGCCGAGCCGACGGAATCATCATTTCATTAGCACATGCGTTTTCATCGGTTTCTATGTGTTACCATTCAGCACTCCAGACTCAAGAACCACTGAGTTTTTGTGTAAATACATCTGGGAGCTAGATTTATAGGCTATGTAAAAATGTCCTGCATGTCCGTGCCGGCCTTTTGAAAAGCAGACACTTTAAAAAACGGAAATTAGTCAGCCTACCTATGTCCATCACTCCCCAGCTGTTTGAGACCCAGCGCGTGCGCCATGGCATGATGACCCTAGGTCCCAGCGGTGCAGGTAAGAGCGTCTGCATCCACGTCTTGATGAAGGCCATGGGAGATTGCGGTGCCCCTCATAAAGAGATGCGTATGAACCCCAAGGCTATCACCGCGCCACAGATGTTTGGACGGCTGGATGTAGCCACTAACGATTGGACGGATGGCATCTTCTCTACGCTGTGGAGGAAGACGCTCAAAGCTAAGAAAGGTCAGGCAAGGTTAAAAATGAGAGATAAGTTTCTTTTAATCCAAGTCGCCCTTTACATGGCTAAAGCCACTCAAAGGTACAGGAGGCAGGGATGCAGGGAAACAAGACAATGACAGAAAAGTATGTGGTAGCATAACCATATCTAAACATGGTGAGAAACCACCTAAATGACTGTTAACCACTTCGCGCCGGGATCATTTTTGCTGAAAATTTCGATTTTCGCAAAAGTCAAAATTTTCCAGCCAACTTCTGATATACAGCCAAAAGCCACAAATACTGATTCGCAAGAGTCATTTCAACAGTATATGTACGATTTTTCTGAAACCTCATATGTTTAAATACTCCGGGGTGTGCACTGCAGCGTAAATTGTACAACAATAGGCCGTGCACAACGGCTAATTCAAGGTCAACACACGGTCCGCCTTCACAGACTTCACGGACTTTGTGTGTGTGTACAAAAAGCACAAGGGATTAGCGTGTTTAGACGTCAGCCGGAGGCGAGTCGAGGCAATCTTGATGTCTCAACCAGTCAGCCGTGCCTGTGTATAAAAACAGCCAGTGCGTGTTATCACGTCCTCCAATGCAAACTAGTTAAATTAACAAGCATTGCATTTTATTGTTTTAATTTTTTGTTAGGTTATTGTTCATATATTTAATTTTGGTGAGCGGGAATGAAATTAAAAGTAACTTCAAATGTGCATTCACTGACTTCATTTGTCATAAATCCCCGCTGAGGTTTGCGGCAATAACCACACATGGTCCTATTGCCTCATGGTCATTGAGAAAGTATTTTGTACACGTAACAAATTTTATTTGCAGGATATTTGTTTGATTTTATATTCATAAATACAGTAAAAAAATTGACAGTTTTCCTTTTGTTTGAGAGCCGTCGGTGGTTTTAAACTGCTATTTAAATACATCTCAGCACACCGCGCATGCTGCACGCACCATGTAAATGGCCCGAACTTGGGGTAAAATGGTAGAACAACATCATTAGAAGTTTGTCAACTTCCGACTTTTTTTTAAATATTTTTTTGACAAAGGTATTTATAAATGGAGATGACAGTGTCGTGGAACAGTGATGTGATAGGCAGTGCTTAGTCTGCATGCTACGAGAGTATGTGAGTCCTGTGGTCTGGTTCCCGCATCTGTTGTAGCGGTCATAGGCCGATTATAGCCCTTGCCTTTGGCCTGATCCATTATCGACACCTAGGCCCTTTCTTACACAGTTATTGACTGCTCCATCACACTATTATCACCTTATTTAAATCGTCTCAAATCATTCAATGAGGTTGTCTTTGTGGTCAATAAAAAAAATTGTTTTCTGTCACTTTTTGCATCTGTTTTAGGTGAGCACATCTGGATTGTTCTGGATGGCCCCGTTGACGCCATCTGGATTGAGAATCTCAACAGTGTCCTTGATGACAACAAGACCTTGACTCTGGCCAACGGGGACCGCATCCCTATGTCTCCTAACTGTAAGATTGTCTTTGAGGTGCACAACATTGACAACGCTTCGCCGGCCACGGTGTCTAGGAATGGCATGGTGTATATGAGCAGCTCAGCGCTGGATTGGAGACCAATACTAGATGTCAGTAGTGCTTTCCCACTCTTGTAATCGATTTACACTTGAAACTTCAATTGTTGACATCATCAAATTCAGTGTAAAAATTAAAAAGACTGCTGCAAAAAAACTAACTGGAAATACCTGAAATATACAATCAACGAAATTTAAAGGGCCTAATGTTTCAGTCCCGGCAAGTTTTTTTCTCAAATGTAAAAAAAAAGAAGACCGCGTGCGGGCGTGTTGTGTGCTAAGCACACGTAGCATTCAGCCTGGAAATCAAGTCTATCATTTCAGCTATCTGTGGTTTCCGATCGCAGTGATATATGTGAATACAAAAAATGCGGGTGCCAACCATGTTTTCGTTGAGCGCATCGTGTATTGCAAGGATCATGTACACCGACAGCAGTTGTGGAATCGTGCATGTTTCGTGTCGAATATTACGTTGGAAATTCGGGTAGGCAGAATGAATATTAGGAATATGGAAAAAGTCAAAGTGATTGAACGAACCGACAGCTTTAAAGGCCATAGAAGCAAAATTAAAAAAAACAAAAAACTTGTCTTGGCTACAAGATAAAGATGACAACGGGGACTTTGTGTCGGACACGGAGTGGCTTTTTCACACACAAAAAAGTTCGGTTTTTTCAAGCAGACGTTCCGTTTTTTTTTTCAAGCAGACCCAGTTCCGTTTTTTTCAAGCAGACCCTGTGGCATCTCTGGGTTTTGAGGTGCATCAGTGCATCAGCAACAACATGCTGCATTACCGCAACAATCCCCATAAACAAATCTGACGGGCCTGAACCCCCCCCCCCACGCAAAAATTCCTGAAATCGCCCCTGACCACTCTCTTGTCACAAATCTAGTCACAAGAAAATCACAAGTCAATCCTCAAGTCCATCACAAGTAAATCACAAGTCCAATCGCATGTTAGAAAGGATGAGCAATATCTAAGGAATGCCTTCGTCTATGGTGATTTGAAAAGCATGGGTGCTGACTCGGGATTTGGGGACTCTTGATTGACCTGTGATCTTATGCAAGTACCTCAACTACAACAGAAATTTTGAGGGGATTGTCGCAGAGCGGACCCTTGCGCCGCTCTACTCAGACCAAAAATCAAGGAATAACTCAAAAGAACAGAGGACTCAACACAGGATTTATCAATCACAAAATTAAACCATTTATTACGAGAAAGAAATAAACCAAAATTAAATTATTATATACATCTGTTTGATTACATCTGTTTGTCCCCAGAGTGTTTTAGTGTTCGCGTTACATTGCCTCATCACAAACAACGTAATTCTGACACAGCTCTATTAATTACAACATAAGTATGACACAGCTCTATTAATTACAATATAAGTATTTGGGTCCGGCTTGAGGGTCGCCGTGGGACGATTCCCCCTATGAACTTGAGAGCTTGAGAACCCGGTCTGCTGCTTGGGTAGGCCCCCTACGCACCGACCGTCGGAGAGTAGGTGGAGGTTCACGTCACGTCAAACTTCAGTGAAAGTAAAGGACAGTGGCCGCCCTGCTAGCCATCGTAGGGCAGGATTACGGGAAGCCCTGTAATATCCATAAGTGCATTCTAATAAACATGCGGGTTGGGCCAACATTTCACATTCAAGTAAGATTTGAGGCTTTGCATGGTGAAGATACTAAATAATGAAAGGTTTGCGGAAACACCATGTGCGAATAATTTCTCAACTAAGAGAATGGTTCTGAATTTCACATTCAAGAAATACACAGGTTATAAGTTGGTGAAATATTACAACTTCACACAATGAACACGGTTTTCATTTTAAATGCACAAGTTTCGTACACCATGAAACGGCATTCATCATAAATGTGAAAATACAGATTTTTTTCCAAGTATACAATACACACTACACAATAAATGATTAAACATTACTACGAATAATAATTACTCACACGGCCTTCGGCTTTGTACGGGCCTATCCGTGGGTCTGGCGTTCCCGGGAGATTGCGATGTGGTACTAACACAATAGGCCTCAATGGCCCACAAGCGGGATTTTTAAAAACTCCCCTCTCAAAGAGGGTACAAGAAGTCCGCCCGACACGCAGCCTTCAGCGGCTCCCAACTCGACAGCCTCAGCGCTGAAGGTCCACACCCATCCGCTTAGCGAACACCCAACCCGGCGAGACACATTCACTCCGGCTCCCGTACCGCAAAACTCAATCCGAAAACACGTGGGCGAGGGTTTTATACCCCTCCCCGGAATGCCAGTTACTCGATTAACCCAGTTATGAATACAAACTTACTGGAGCTTGCACCACGACTGAGCCCCACATGGGTGCAAGCTCGGAATAGGTATGCAACAAAGGAAAAGGAATTACGATTTGCATAATTCATCTAGCATCAACCTCAGACGTTACATAACACTTTACGGGAGTACAAATTTAGTCTACTAATAAATTAACTCGGAAAATAAAAGGAATAATTTTAACACGTCTTGTGACAGGGATCTAAATTTAAAAAGTGCACATGGTACAGATAGTAATATTATTCTTGTTTTTACAGCACTGCTCTACAACAGAATTTTTGAGGGGATCTAAATTTTAAAAGTGCACATTGTAGAGATAGTAATATTATTCTTGTTTTTACAACACTGCTCTACAACAGAATTTTTGAGGGGATCTAAATTTTAAAAGTGCACATAGTAGAGATAGTAATATTATTCTTGTTTTTACAACACTGCTCTACAACAGAATTTTTGAGGGGATCTAAATTTTAAAAGTGCACATAGTAGAGATAGTAATATTATTCTTGTTGTTACAACACTGCTCTACAACAGAATTTTTGAGGGGATCTAAATTTAAAAAGTGCACATAGTAGAGATAGTAATATTCTTGTTTTTACAACACTGCTCTACAACAGAATTTTTGAGGGGATCTAAATATAAAAAGTGCACATAGTAGAGATAGTAATATTATTCTTGTTTTTGTCGGATAGGGTTGGCTGCGAGGGCAGCCACCAGGTGAAGCTGCAGTCCTGAGGGATCTATATGACAAGATCTTTGATGATCTGTACCGTTTTGTCTCACTCAACCTCCATGCCAAGATGGACATACTGGAGTGTAACTACATCAGGCAGGTATGGGCCAAGATTGATCAGAGACTATTAATTGATTGGAGATTGTTTTATGGTGTAAGTTGAGCCCAGCGCACTAGTGTTAAAGTATAATTGGTGGGCAGCTGTGTTAGTTAGGCAGAAATACACATAGAAAAATATGGTAGCACTTCAAATGACTAACAAGAATAAATGTGTGCATAAACTTTTGTAACTACAACTACTTCATCAGATGCAATGAAGCGTGCCATCATACAAGGTTGTATAAGTGTACATGTGCAGTTTAAACAAAAGGTGGTGATGATTCAGTTGTGTAGTGTTTAAAGGGAATGTACATCATTGGCTTTCGCTGTAATTTTCAGAAATGAACTAGTTGAGGGGTTAGTATAATAGAACAAAATATTGTTACACTGACATGTTTGAAGATTTGTGTTCGAAAATGCTGGAAAAACCAAGAAAAACAAAAATGTTCAAGTAGTCTGGTTCCCTGACTCCACTAAAAATGAAATGGATCAATTTAAAGATGCCGGAAAATTGTAAGGTAAGGGAACCAGTCTAGCTGACCTGCACCCGTTCATGAACATGTAACCAATAGCGAACACAATTTGGACTGAAACAAATGGTAAAAATGGAGCAGTAGTTGAAAAATAGTTAGGTTTTTCCAACGGTGGTCGGCCGACCACCGTTGGAAATGTATAAAAAAATGCCAGTTTCTTGAAAATGACTTCACACCAGGTGCCATAATTTTACAGGATGCTTTAGACTGTCATTTACCAACATCCTAGTAAGGTATTTCGTAACAACTTGGTAGTTTTATTTTTTGATGTTTGCAAATGTTGTATTTTCCCTTTAAGTGCAATTGTCTCTAGTCAAATGATGATCAAACATCATCATGAAACTACTCAATCCTGGCTCCCATCAAGTTACACATGTCTATGGGTAGTCTGCGAGTGACCAACCTTGATTGCGACTAGACCAGCTAGTCCAGTTATGATAAAGTTGCTGGAACTTGCTCTAAGTTGCTCAGCGATCTTACAGTCGATTACTTGGCAGCCTGATCATTTAAACTTACTCTCTAACCATTTTCGCTGAGACTCTTCCTGAATCATCCCACATCTGCCACTGAGCAGGAACCATTTGCATGTTTTTTTTTTTAACATCCAAGGAGCATCAAGCCACATGTAAAGTAAATATGTCTAGGCTATACTAGTGCAGACATCTTACCAGTCAACCACCGAGCTTGTCAAGGTCAGCTGGCTGGTTTAAAGTGGGTACTGCAATGAATGTGGGTACTGCGATGAATCACTTTTTTGTATGATGGAATTTTTGTATCGGGATAAATATTAATTCAGTGTTGGATTTTTGGCATTCACCGAAGTAATTTCCTGAACACTGTACACTCAAGTGCTATGCGAGGGCTTGTTTGCGAGAAAAAATCACAAGTTACTCAGCTGGACCTGAAACCCATGACCTCCTGCTTACTAGTGCAAACGTCTTACTACTCGATCACCCAGCTTGCCGGTGTCGGCTGGATGGTTCGAATCTGATATAGCAGATGAGGGTAACACATACAGTGGAACGCCGCTATACTGAACACCACTATACCGAACATTTGGCTATACCGAACATCATCCTTGGCTCCCGGTTTTAATGTACAAAACGTATCGAACATCGTTGTTGAAAAAAGTCAACAGATTAACAAAAAAACCTACCGGTTGTACATGTATTAAACACTGTTTGGGCCACTTTTAATTCCCGAACATCAAACCACCCATGGTTACATCGTGTTTGAATGTTGGAGAGCGATAGATGGCTATTATTTCCCCAAGGAATAAAAGGGAAAACCACCCATTGCTAAAGTTTTGTGACAACTCCTTGTGCGGCTGCAGGATGTGAGAAATACCAGTTCAGTGACTTCACTATTGGTCTAAAGAGGGTACCGGAGGTTCAATCACTATGCCAAACGATCGTTAACCCTAACTCCCTAGGCCTTTTTGCTAGGATGTAGCCTCAATCCTGCAAAATCCTCCAATTGGCCTCATGAAAAAAATAGCATATAGCCTCAATCCTGCAAATTCCTCCGCTATTTCTTGAATATGGTCCATGGAGGGGTGACCACTGCCTGAATCCTGCAAAATCCTCCAGCTATGACTGTCAATAGGCTGAGGCAGAGGCAGTGACATCCTGGAGCAGTGCGGAGGATTTTAAGTATAATCGAGGGCTAAATTTATGCACGGCTGAGCATAAACAACACAAGGTCTGGCCCAAGACCTTGACACAGTGCGTACTTCGAAATCTGCAACCCACTTTTGCCATGTAACCTCAATCCTGCAAATTCCTCCAATTTACAAAAAGGATTTTGGAGGTTTCAGGGCGGTTAGGGTTAATATGAACACTTTCTGTGGATCTGTGATGTTCGTTATAGTGGCGTTCCACTGTAGTATGATGGATTTTTCCCAACCCTATTGTGAATTCTCATCCACAGTCAGTTGACTTACTGGACGGCCTGATCCCAGTCAAAGACGAGCACGACCACAGCATCCTACCAGCCTCTCACCTGGAGAAACTCTTCATCTTTGCCCTGATGTGGAGCCTGGGTGCCTTACTGGAGCTGGACGACCGAGTCAAGATGGAGGAATTCATGCTGGCTCATGAGAGTAAACTCCACTACCCTCAAATCGAGGAGGGCAGCGGACACACTATCTTTGAGTTCGTCGTCAATGCTCAGGGTAGGTATCATGATTGACAGCAGAGGGCAAAACTGTTACGCTATCAGACAATTTCTGTATTTAACCAAATTTGTCTGGAGGGGGTGTTTGCCTAGTGGTTAGGGTTTGTGACTCGTGATCAGAAGGTCAGGGGTTCAAATCCAGCTGCTGGCCATATCGTCACCGTTTTCACCAAGAGACGGGCATGTCAAAATTGACAAGTTTTTAAAATATTTGCTTTAAAACCAGGTACTTAAGCATTCTAACATGTTTCCGTAAGCAAAACATCATTAATTCCTGAATAAGATTAATGACGTCAGGGGCAGAATATCTCGAAAACGTTTTTTCTTCAAAATCCACTTGCCTGTCCCTTCGTGAAACCGGTGACGATATGTTGTGTCCTTGGGCAAGCCACTTCACCCCCACTTGCCTCTCTCCACCCAGGAGTATAAATGGGTACCGGCATTAGCTGGGGAGCAACCTGCGATGGACTGGCATCCCATCTAGGGGTGAATAGAAATATTTTCAGTCGTTTTATGCCAAGGAAACCGAAGATAAATGTCGGCTTGATAGGCTATATTGGCTTGTAACAGACTTGAATTTTAACAGTTTGTGGTCAGGTAAAATTTTAATGTTAGTGCATTGTGGATACTCAAAATTGGTTGTGCCACTTCATACGTCTGTACAGTTTTGTGTCTGATATCACCCTCTGTACTGTATTCAGCCAGTCAATGAGTGTTGAGAAAAAAAAACCTGGTTGAAGTATATATTTTGGTGATGCCAGCTTCAGGTTTTTGTTTGTAATGCGAGATAAGTTTGGCTATTAACAAGTTTGAAAAAGATAACTTCGATGCAAAGCCACACCTCCAGACATTTCCAGGGCAAAAGCTTTTAAGAATACGATTCAAGGTCTCTGAATAGCCCGCAGATACATTGATCCCACATAGGGTTAAGGCCGGTTCATATTTAGTGCGAAAGCGAATCCAAAACTTGAGCACATTGGAACTCTAGCGATGTTTGCAATGAATATTTCGTTATATCCAAAAATGTCACTTCACAGTCCCATTCTCGTGACGTACGAACTGGCCTTTATTCATAACGAAGCTTTTACTTGTGTGTGTGTATCGCAGGTGATTGGGAGCATTGGTCCAACCGAGTCCAGGAATACCTGTACCCCAGCGACTCTGTGCCTGTCTACACCTCCATCCTGGTACCTAACGTTGACAATGTCAGATCCAACTTCCTGATTGATACCATCTGCAAACAGCACAAGGCAAGTAGCAATTACCATTTCCACCCCAAACCGTGTAGAGATACGCACGTTTGCATCATGCAAGCAGAGCTATTGTCAGTTTTCTTGCTGTCACATCTTCAGTACATAGAGGTAGGACCTAGTCCATGCAGGAACTGCAAATAACACTGAGTGAACTTTATGGGCTCCTTGTGTGCACAAGTACCCCCTCACCGGCAAGAAAGGGACAGTTGGGGTTCGCTCGTACCCCCCGCCCTGCAAACAGGACGCTGGGATACTCTGATGAGCTTCACAGAATCTTGTGAAGGAAATGGCCTTTGACCTATGTATAAAGCATCTTGCTGCAGCTGTTCAAGACCGCAGTTAGACAATGTGCGCCAAATGCTATCAGAAAACTTCCCATGAAATTGCGCATATTCCATACCGGATGTGATTTCTGTTTCATTGCGGACCATGTGGACAAAATTTTCAGCGTCGCATAATGCAATCCGACCGTTCGTGATTCGAAACGGAGTCTGAGCGAGTGACGAGAATTGTAAATTTACAACACAGATAAGTTTTACCGAATTTCCTACATTATTACGCTTTTTAATGAGAAAAAACATCTCTAAACTGGAATAAAAGAGTAATGAAACAGTCTTAACGGCCGTTTCAAACCTTGCAGAGTCACGACCTTGATGACGCGCAGGTCACTGGTCACGCAAAATCCAACCAATCAGAGCGCGAATTCATCAGAGTATCCCAGCGTCCTGTTTGCAGGGCGGGGGGTACGAGCGAACAGTTGGGGGAGACCGTCAGGAGAGACAATCGAACCCATCGCCAACAACACCTGATGGTCACATGAAGACGCTATGGCTTTGTGGGCATTTAGAATAAAATAAGCCTTGCATACTTCGAGCTATACGCGCGCGAAACAGTATGCGCAGGCGGTGTGTCCCGTCCACGGGGCTCTCAAAAGTGCTGAAAGAGCGCCCTCTCTTGTTGGTGCACTGAGCCCATACTAAAAGCTAGTAAAAGACATAATTGTGCTCGCACTGGTTTGTAAGGCTGCACGGCACAGTGTCCGCGAGGCTGGGTTTCTTGTTTTGACCTGTGGTTTGCATCTTTTCGTATCATCGCCACATTAGGACAAATGCATCTGAGCAGAGTTGCATGACAACCAGGCACAGAATTTGTCCTTGTATCAGCTAAATGCTTCAATTTCAAATTCCCGTTTACATCATTAAAAAAAATATCAAGCACTTAAGAAAGTCTGTAGGATTTCCTCATTGTTTTTTTTTTTTGCGTCCAGTTGCATGTCCAAGTAACGATGGCACTCAAGAGACAGTTAATGTTGGAGCACTTTGTTATTTTCGATACTCAGGGGTTCATGTGCGTGTAGTCTGTAATTAAAAAAACTCAACTATCAATCCTGGAGTATGATTAAAGTTTAACTTGTCTTTTTTTCTTTGGCCAAATTTCAGGCTGTGCTGTTGATTGGTGAGCAGGGTACAGCCAAGACCGTCATGATCAAAGGCTACATGTCCAAGCACAACCCTGATGTACACATGAGCAAGAGCTTCAACTTCTCCTCAGCCACTACCCCCATGATGTTCCAGGTAAACCACTCCGTCCAAATTCTGAGAACTCAATAAACCCGCTGCAGTCTTGATGTTTTGATCGTAGACGGATCTTCTACTTTTCGAATCAAAATATTAGGCCCTCCTTATGGTTAGGTTTCAGGTCACTCTTCCTCATAGTCAGCTTTTAGAAGCTTAGTCTTCCTTTTTTTTATGAGAGTTGCCCATCACAAGGCCCTATTTAAGGGCAACTCGAAGTGAGGGCTATAGAACAAAGGGATAGAAAAAAGAAGGTTAAAAAAAGAGGAAAAATTACTCCAAAAGAAAGAAAAGCATTTATGTTATGCTTGAACTGGGACAGGTCCATCATGATGGTGAAGCAGTGTGTCGGAAGAAACTGAATGAATACTTGTTTTGGAAGCAATGACTGTATATGCATGTGATTGGATGGAGAAGCATGTAGCGCACCTGAAGGGACGGTTAGGATTAAAACTTAGAGAAACACTGTTGGAGCACATTGCGTGAGAGTATCTGTAAAACAAGTACAGGTCGGCAACAGGTCGGCATTTGCAAGAGGTTCTAGATTCCGGTAGTTTAATGATTAGATCCATTTATTCAAATCTTCAATCTGCAGCGAACCATTGAGAGCTACGTTGACAAGCGTATGGGCAGCACCTTCGGTCCACCAGCCGGCCGCAAGATGACGGTCTTCGTCGACGACGTCAACATGCCCATCATCAACGAGTGGGGCGACCAGGTGACCAACGAGATCGTCCGTCAGATGATGGAAATGAAAGGCATGTACAGCTTAGAGAAACCCGGCGATTTCACCAACATCGTGGACGTGCAGTTCATCGCTGCTATGATCCAGCCTGGAGGAGGCCGGAACGACATCCCAGAGAGACTCAAGAGGCAGTTCTGCATCTTCAACTGCACGCTGCCGTCTAACATGTCCATCGATAAGATCTTTGGTGGGTGAAATATAACTCAAATTATCTTATAGTTTTTTTATGTATCTATTTATTATTCAGCCATTGGCCAGGATAGTCCACGGAAGTCTTTAACCTTGTTTCCAGTGGGGTCCCTTGGTAGAAGATGTGGAAGGAGATTACAGTTTTAGTGGTGGGAGGAAAAACCCAGAATGACATTCTAGGGGAACCCACGGAATCAGGTTGGAATTTGAAAACCCAATCCACATTTAAGCCCTGGTGGGAATCGAATCCGGGTCACGGCAGTGCAAGGCGCAACCTGATCCCCATGTGTTTCAACTTTGGAGGCGCAGCAAGGTTGTCACTAAGACCTCACAAGTCAATCACAACAAGTCTTCCAGTCACAAATAGCTGTTCAAACAAAGTTCAGTAAAGTCTCTTCTTTGACGTTGCTTGTCCCAATCCGCTCCGTTCACAAGTACCCCCTCACCGGCAAAGAAAGTACAGTTGGGGGTGACCGACCGACGCCATCTTGCCTGACTGCAATTTTGCCGCGACGCGCGGCCGTACGTACCATGCCACTGCGTGCACATAGTACAAATCCCCTGGTGTACGTGCGTCACACAAAGGAACGGTGTGCGTCAACCAGCTAAATGTCCCGCCCGTAGGACGTCGTTGCTAGGTAAAAGGGCGCCCTCTTTTGTTGGCGCACGGAGCCCATACTTGTGAGCTTGATTTCATGTATGATTTTCTTGTGACTGATTGAGGGTAGATTAAAACTCTACAGGGTGAGTAAAAATAAACAAAACCCAAATGTCGGGACTATTGTTTTATTGAAGTTCTGCATGTAGCACTCTCACAATCTAGGATATGAAAGCCCAATTCATAAGGTTTCTTTTAGTACAAGAATGATGCAAATCACTCACGTACTTTTCAAGTTACGGAATTTTAAACACAACCACCGTCTTAAGGTTCTGTCCACGGATTACAAAAAAAGGTTATGGTTGTTTCAGCTAAACGAAAACAATTCACACACATCCCTATGTGATTTGTTTTCATTTTGCTGAAAGAACACTCAACTTTTTTGTGATCCTTGGACAGAACCTTAAAACAGTGGTTGTGTTTATTAAAAAGTACATGAGTGATTTGAATAATTCTTGTATTAAAAGAAAGCCTATGAATTCGGCTTTTATATCCTAGATTTTGAAAATGGTACATGCAGAACTTCCCTAAAACAATGGTCCCAACATTTGGGTTTCGTTTTTTTTACCCACCCTGTACAGTACAGGTTTGAGTAGTTTTGTGAGGTTTGAAAAGAAAATGCCAAGATAACTTATTTGGTCAAGAGCAAACTGCTGAGTGCCAATCGGATATGTAGTAAAAACCAAGTGATTTACTTTGAGTCTCTGAAATGAAATTTTTTTTTAAATTAAAATACGAATTAAAATAAAAATTCAATTAAAAAATGAATTAAAAAAGTCAAACTGCATGAAATACTGTTCCACTGTTGAATTTGAATAGTCCAAGAAGTTTTTTCTGTCAGACATAATAGTGTTGATATATTTCATTCATAAGTGCCTAAAACAGTTTACGCATTCCTATTGGTCGAGAGCCCGTCACGTGGCCGGTCTTAAACAGATGATAAAGACATGGCTAGCTGGTCTTAAACACTTTTCCAGTGTCACATGAAATTGGACTCCCATAAAATCTGGCGCCTGTTAGCGTTTCATTGGTTGAACGTTCACATTCCTCACGTATGCATGCGCAATGTACTACCAGTGAATCAGTATTTCATGGTCGGAAATTCACACTACACCAGCCCAGCTGCGTTTTGCGCGACGCGCACGCCAATGTCCCACCGGTCTTAAACAGAGTGTTGTAATACCTCCCGAACACACATTTATTCCCTTAATAAATGTTGGTTATGATTGCAGGTATTATTGGCTGCGGCTATTTCTGCTCGTCTCGTTTCAAGGATGAGGTGGTGGAGGTGGCCAAACTGCTCGTGCCAGTCACTCGCAAAGTCTGGCAAGCTACTAAGGTAGGTTCAAACTACTGTCATCACATTTCAATAATTATACGTACAACCAAGCACACATGGAAAGATAATATGGTGTTTTTAACACCTGAGGGGCGCATAGCACCTGAGGAGAATAAAGATGTAAATTTGGAAGCACAGCTGTAAGACTTGGAAGCAGACAAGAAAAGCAACATTTTGACCTAAACATGAGCTGAATAAAGTGCACCCTGATTTTTTTCCTTCTAATGTGGTTTTATTTTGTTGAATTTTACCAGAATTTGTGCATGTGGGCATCAGCTTTACACATGCCCTACTTTCTACCTATTAAACATCGATTTGTGAATCTGCAGTCTAGCCAATCAGTACCGTCATGTCATAGCCTACATCATTACATCATCATCTAACGGTTGCAACCGAGATCTCGTTCACAACACCACGCCAGGTGTCTTAATCCGTCATTATGTACGGAAGGTCTTCAATTTCACATTGGGTGTCTCTGCCAATCCCGTCAATGTAGTTGAAAGGTCTTCGTCCTCTATTAGGGCATGGAAGTCTCCAACATAATACATCAGATATGACCTGGTTTACAGCACAGTAGCAGTGGCCAGCAAAGTGAACTCGTCGTTGAGCAACAATAGCAGAGATAGCCTACATAATACCACGATTTTCTGCCCATGTGTAAATGTGTAATTTACTACTGCATGATTTGCCACCTTTTGTTTCTACTTTTTGTTATTGTTCTTCTGTGTGAGTAATCCCGAGGCTTACCATCTTCTAACCATCAGGTTAAAATGCTACCAACCCCAGCCAAGTTCCACTACATCTTCAACCTGCGTGACTTGTCTCGTATCTGGGAGGGCATGCTGCATATCGCTGGTGATGAGTGTCAGGATGCTACGACGATTATGGCACTGTGGCACAATGAATGCACTCGAGTCATTGCAGACAGGTACAATGCTATCTCTTTGCCTACAGATTTCAGTGCCTAATTAACCCTCCAAGTCCTTAGCCTTGGTCAAGGCATTTGAAGATAGTGTCCGATGAACAGTGGCCGTACGCTATACATGCACCATAGAGCTATATTAAATTTATACTAGAGCGCTAACTCGATGTACAAAGTAATGCTTGATGGGCGCATCCATGTTTGTGCACAAACCTATGGAATACTCAAAATTTTGTACGGCTTTTGTACGGCTATTTGCATATCTGCATTTGTATTCCATACCGGTGCTTCATCGAAGCCAATATGCCTATACACGATCAGCAAATGAGCGTGTCATTTTGCTCTACGCAAACAGCGCAACGTGTGCGCGTCCCTCCGCTGCAGATGCTTTTTGTTTGCGTATCTTCTACTTGCGCGTTGCATTTAGAGTACACTTTTAAATTCAATCCATCTATTTTGATTGTGTTCTACAAACGCACATAAATTCAAAATGTCTGCGCCCAGAGCGGCTTCAAAGCGTCTTCGCGCACAAGAATGAGGAGTTAGCGCTCTAGTAATTTAATATAGCTCTATGACATGCACTCACACGTACTGTATGAAGCGCGAACTGCAACCTCACGCGGCTAGGCTACAATATGCAAATCAGTTGGTGCTAGTTGAACGCCTTGGACAACCGATATAGTCATGATTTTTTTCGGGCAATTTTCGTTACTTTCTCCGCTGGATTAATTTCCAATTTTATTTGGTCTGCAGATTCCTAACTTGTTGGAGAATGTAGCCACACTGTCCAGCTCTCTGTCCATGTAAAATATGAACCTCCACAACCAAGTACTGAATAAATAATCTCATCTTTATTTGCATATGAGAAAAAAATAAAAATCGCTTAAATAAAGAAAAACATACTGCCTAAGTCAGCATAGATTTCTCCCTTTAAACATTCAATGGTATCATAAAATTATAATAATAATAATAATGGCTTCTTGTATAGTGCTCATGTCTGTCACAAGGTGACGCTCCTAGCGCTCTTATTATTACCCCTGGCTTTAGCACGGCTGCCATTACGGCGCTCAAGCATTGAAGGAATTTCTTCCTACCAGATACCCATTTACTACACCTGGGTGGAGAGAGGCAATTGTAGTAAAGTGCCTTGCCCAAGCGCACAAGCACCATGTTCCCCGTCATGATTCGAACCCATGTACCACGGCACACGAGTCGAACACCGTAACCACTGGACCACAGCACCCCACAATTATCCCAACCATTTAGAAACGATCGTTGAAATGTTAGTTCCGAACTTTGTCATTGAATACCTACAAACGGTAATTAAAAAGTGTTTGTAAATTCAAGGTGAGTGAAGGAAATACTGACTGGACTGAAATTCTCCACAGATTCACCAATTCCGAAGACAAGCAGTGGTTTGAGACGGCCATCCGACGCGTAGCCAGAGAGGAGCTAGACGAGGACCTGGCTCAAGTCATCCCCGATGAGCCGTACTTTGTGGACTTCCTACGAGACCCGCCGGAACCCACAGGAGATGAGCCTGATGATGCCGTGCTGGAAGCTCCTAAACTCTACGAACTGGTGAGCGTTGCTCTCTAAAACTACAACTTTTTTTGAAGGGGAGACATAAAATCAACATATCTGGAATATGACTGGTGTGCCTTGTTCTGGTTCGTGTATTTTTTTCAGAACTACTCTGCTAAACAGATGCCAGCATGCATGGCATGTCACCATCATATATTTTAGTGGTTAAATGTATGGTGTAAAATTAATACTTGACCTTTATACATTTTATAATGTATCAGCACGTTGTTGAGTAATTTTCTCTGCAAAAATTCAGGCTGGTTCATGTTGGTGAACCAGCCTGGATTGGCAGTGAATTCACTTCAAACCTAAACTTCAGTAGTTTTGGATCGACCTTAACATTCACTTTTGAAACAAAGGTCACAATTAAAGATATAGTCCATCATTTGTAATTTGTGCATGTTGTTCGTTTGAAGCATCAAAAGTGTTCAAAATCTAATGAAGGATACTGAACAACTAACCTGATGAATGACTGTGAGCAACACCCGTGGCTCACAGCCAACTGACACACCTGAGCGAGCAGGACGCTCAGCGGGCATCCCTCAACACAATGCCCAAGGCTCACAGCCAACTGACACAGTCGAGCGAGCAGGACGCTCAGCGGGCATCCCTCAACACAATGCCCAAGGCTCACAGCCAACTGACACAGTCGAGCGAGCAGGACGCTCAGCGGGCATCCCTCAACACAATGCCCATGGCTCACAACCAACTGACACACCCGAGCGAGCAGGGCATGCCCAGCAAGCACTCCTAATCCTAACAAACCCTACTTAAGGAGTAGCATCTCCAACTTTCTTCAGTCTCCTGACGATGACTAGAGCAGGCTAGTCGAAACGTTGAGACCAAAGACAAGTTCTTTTAGAACTTACAGCAGGACTGTTCTAAACAGAACAAAAAACAAAAAAACTACTTAGCAAGTTGATAATAAGCAGGACAAGTTCTTCTCAGAACTAATATCTTCTAAGCAGTAGTTATTACCACATGGTGTTACCGCAAAACCGAAACGATACCGATACCCCACCATGCAAACCCTCAAATCTTATAACCTGATGAAGTTTCAGCTAAGCTTCAGCTGTATATTCCAAGAAAAACAGCATTCTAGGATCTCAATTTCAAATCAAAAGTTACTGAATCATGCTTTGAATTGTAGCTATATGCGACGTCGCGCACTGATCTAACGAATTATAGCAACCGCGTGTGCGTCATGCCAATGCTTGCGCGCGCTTCGCCGAATAACAAAACGAACTACTAATTTAAATTTTCCTACAGTGCGTCTTAAGACGCACCGTTGGAAAGGCCTTCGTTGATTACTTCAAAATGACAGCTTCCCAGAAAGAATAATTTCACAGGGAGTTTAGTTCCCTTACTATCTTTCAACCAAGTTTGTTTTTCAACAATAATTACGCCAGTTACTTTTCGGATGGCTGCAAATGATGGACTATAGCTTTAAAATCCGTTTGTATTTTCTCCGGTTAACCAAATGACGTAACATTTTAACATTGCCAGTTTTTTCTCAAATATAGGAAGGGATGGTAGCCTGCAGTTGCTTTTCAGATTTTGTGCTCTTCAGGATGTCATTGTCATGTTAATGTCATCGTCATTTTAATGTCATTGTCATTTAATGTCATTGCCATTTTATGTCCATGCCATTTCAATGTCATTGTCATTTAATGTCATTGTCATGACAGGTTCCAAGCCTAGAGTTTCTTGCCGAGAAGCTTCAGCAATACATGGCAATGTACAATGAAGCAGTGCGAGGGGCTCATATGGATCTGGTCTTCTTCAAGGATGCTATGACTCACCTCATCAAGGTACCCGTTGGCATTGGGAACTGGGGCTAATTTCATGGAGCTGCTAAGCACAAAAAATTGCTTAGCACAAAAAAAAGTCTAGCTTAGTAAAAGCAGGTTACCAGCCAAAACTCCATGTGATTTTCATGCTAAGCAAACAACAGCTGAGTTTTGGCTGGTAATCTGCTTTTATAAGCCAGGCTTTTTTTTGTGCTAAGCAAATGTTTGTGCTTAGCAGCGCCGTGAAATTGGCCCCTGGTTGTGACATTAGTCTTTGATAAGCATTAGATCATGTTAGTCTAAGCATTGGAACATGATGGTCTACGTGCAGGAACTGTATGTGGAGGTGTCTGTCAGGCATTGTTTGCCATGTGTTTGCCATGTGACCAGTTTTTTGCAGCAGCTCGAGATCAGCGCATTCTGGTCTCTACCTTAACTGGTACCCATTTATACTCCTGGGTGGAGTAAGGCAATTGTAGTAAAGTGTCTTGCCCAAGAACACAAGCACCATGTTCCCCACCGGGGTTCGAACCCATTTACCCCGGCACCTGAGTCGAACACTGTAACCATTGGACTGTTATCATAGGACAAATAGTATGTGCATTGTTTTCAACAGTGGTCGCTACAAATGTTTGGTCACAATTGAATGTGCAGAATTAAAATAGTAGCCTAATGGCAATATCTAATTTACAAAGTTCATCCACAGGTAATTGTTTGGAAAATAATGGAAGATGACTGAAATGTCCTGATTTTCACATTTTCACTTCAAAATGATAGAACGTAAGAAATTTTGCCTTGGAGAAAGTTCTTGCTCATAACAAAATCTCATGTCATCCTAACTTTTATGGTTTTGAATCACTGGACATTGATGTTGCTTCTAAAGTAAATGTGTGTATTGTGGCGGATTGCTCCCGAACCCAGTTACTTCCTCGGACCGGAGACTGACGAGCAGCCTCAAGGCTAAGGGATGCAAGTTCGTTTTGGTGGAAATATACCGCCTAAGGAATTGATTGGCTTTCTCTGCTCAATAAGTCAAATAAACACAACAGGACACCTGATTTCGGACCACAATGATTTAAATATGGTTTATTGAATCAACAATTGCCTTATGAATGATTGATAATTAAATGACTTGAGTGAACTTCTTGGACTTGGGGGAACCTTTTATTATTAATTAAACTTGCTGTATGGCTTACTACTCGATGTGCAAGGCTGACTACCTCGCTGTTTGGCTTACTACAAGGCTTACAAACTACAACAGACGTTAAGTTTATTATAGAGGTTCTGAGGTAACAACTTAAGCTGCGGACGATCAACGTGGCTTACAATAGCTGCTGGGGTCGCTAGTCAGCCACACAGGGAACGCAGCCGTATGAAAGCAAGGTCAGTACACGTTCACCGCTATTCACCGTATAGGTGTACACCACAGCAGGAACACCGACACCTCTCCCGATACTTGGCACGCTCAACCACCTTGGCTGATGCTACTCCCAACGCACGGCTTACTTATGTTCTCCGCTACAACGGGGAACTAAACGCTACCGGGATAAGTGCACGCAGCTCGCCGGCAACAACCTAGCGATCTCGGCTCCCTAGTAAGCGCTACCCACGGCACAAAGCCGATCCTAGTAAACCACACACAAACCACAAACTCTACAAAGTTCGTGCTTACCTCTCACTGTTGTCTCCTCGACCGCCATGAACGCACTGACCGTCTAACCACGTGTGTACGTCTCCACAGCACACAGAACAATGCTGGGCGACGCGCAGCCAATCACATCTCTGCGCGCAGTCACGTACACTAATGCTCCACCCCGTGACATTGCTCACTGGGGGGAAATCCCTAAATTGTGCTAGTCTCCTAACCAGCCTACATGTTTATAGAACACTTTCGCCACACAGGACCGGGCAAAGCCTGGAACGTCCTCGTCCAGAAAAGCTTAACAAACAATAAAGAAAGTGTCTCTAAAACCTAACTGTTTCTATACAATTCAATGTAAAACAAAAGGTTTAACCTTTCCTTTATAATACAATACAAAACATAAGGGTCTTAACTTTTCCTTATACATCAATAAGAAAGTTAAGGGGGGGCTGATGTTGAAACTCATTAAATATGCACAGCATCTTGTACATAGAAAAAGGCACTTTACTTCAAGTCTAAATTTATACAATCATAAAGTCAGGTCTAAATTTATACAATCAAAATACACTTAGTGTTACTGATGTGGACTTACACATATACACTGTTTTTTTTTCTCTATAAAATACACACTTCTTGAAAAATAGATAACCCTTTTTTTATACAAAAATAACGTTTTTCCAACCTTTTAACAATTATAAAGTGGTCTCTATAACAATGAAAAACAAGTATAAATATGAAAAACAAGTATAAATATGAAAGAACAAAATCACCCTGCAAATCAAGTCAACAATAAAACATAATCGAATGATTAAACTTAGCACACTTAGAACACAGCTGCTGCCCTAGTTGCTGACCGGACTTTCCCACACTGCGTCGATCTTCGCCTGGAAAGTTCGCCGTTTTTCTTCCTGTCTGACCATCTTGGCTCCGACCCATACCTCTCGGACTATGTGCTCTTTGATTGTAGCAAGCCTTCTCTTCAGCTTCGGCCGCCTGGTTGACGATTCTTCGGGTTGTCCGTCGGACATCTCCTCTAGTGATGGCATTGAGGATGCTGTTGACGCGACCGGTGATACTGACGGGTGTCCTCCCATGAACATCGACCGGGGCTTTCCAGTCAAGGGACGGACTGGTGCCTGCTGCACTGGTGGAACTGGTGCCTGCTGCACTGGTGGAACTGGGGGAGGAGTCGCTGCTCGAGGGGACTCGCTCCTCACTAGGGGTGAGATTGGACAAGGGGATAGCGACAGCGCATCTGGATCTACTGCTGTGCCTTCCTGACCCTCTACAGGAGGTGCTGGTGCGGCTGGAGCTTCGGCGGGCCCTGTCTGGCTCCACCCTGCGCTATCTAGCGCTCTGGTTTCGGTGTGAGGTCTATCTGGCCGTTCTACCTCTGGCCGGATGGAATCGCATTCCTGCACCCAACTTGGGTGGAATCCACCGTAGTGACGTCTCATGGTGTCGCTACGTGTTGACCTGTAAGCGCATCTCCGGCAGTAGAGATACATCACTGGGCCATGTGACTCATGGACATGTCTCCACAAGCTTTGACGTTGCCAATACCAATTCAGGCACATTGTGCATCTGAACTTTCTTGGCTTCTTCTGTCGCTTCTGGGCTTCGTTCTTCTTCATCTTAGATCTTATGGAAAAACAAACCAAAACGACATGGTTAAAATTCATCTACACACTGGCTACATCAACTAGCAATTAGGCCTACTCTACATAACGAGGGGGAAGTCGCCTATTACGCCTTGGGTTGCGCCTTGGCATTTGTCCCTCGTCTTCCAAATTTGACCTTGGCTCATCCTCTGGAGCCTCTATCAGCTTTTCTGCTGCAGTTTCTTCTGCTGCAGTTTCTTCTGCTTGAACCCCCTCACTAAGGTCCTGCCCCTTAATCTTGTACTCCCAGGGTACAAGGGGTTCACCCGTGTATGGTTTCAGCCTATCACTGTGTACCACACGCGGCTTGCTTCCTGGTCGCAACTGAATGCGAAATGTCACATCTGATAAGCGGCTAACGATTAGCCATGGCCCCTCCCACCTAAGCACCAACTTGGGGGACACGCCCTTCTTTCTTGCTGGATTGAAGAGCCAAACGAATTGACCTTCTTTGAAACCTCTATGAGCCGCCCGGCGGTCATAGTTTCGCTTCTGTCTCTGGGCATTCTTCCCGAGACACTCATGGGCCCTCTGGTGTGCAGCCTGCATATTCTTTCGCAAGTTCTCTGCAAAGTCTAGCCCATGGTCGTCATCTTCTACCTCTTGACACTCTGTCAGTAAGTCAATCGGCAAACTGACTTCTCTGCCTAGCATCATCATATTTGGTGATTCACCCGTAGAATCTTGGGGTGTACACCGATATGCGAATGTGGCATACGGGAGGAACTCATCCCAGTCCCGTTGTCGCCTCTTGGGATCAATCAACACCGAAACGATGTTCACAAGCGTTTTGTTAAAACGCTCGACCAACCCGTCAGACTTCGGATTGTAGGCGGTGGTACGAGTCTTAGTGATGCCTAAGATCCGCAACACCTCGCCAAAAACCTCAGACTCAAAGTTACTGCCTTGGTCCGAGTGCAGTTCCTGAGGAACCCCGAACCTGCAGATAAACTCGTTAACCAACTTGAGAGCAACTGTAGTGGCAGTGGCATCCGGAAGCGGATAGGCCTCCATCCATTTTGTACAGTAGTCAGCGACTACAAGGATCCACCGATTCCCACTATCGCTCTTGGGCAGTGGCCCGAGCAAATCGATTGCCACCCTCTCCATGGGCACACCAACCCTATATTGCTGTAAGGGTGCCTTACCCTTCTTGGCTGGCGATTTCCGCCTAGCACACATGTCACAACTACGAATAAACGACCTGATATCGGCCGCTAAGCCTGGCCAGTAGTACCTCAGCCTCACCTTGGCCTCGGTCTTTCTAACCCCAAGGTGTCCGCTGAGCAGCCCTCCATGCAGCTCTGACAAGACTTCTTTCCGATGGTCTACTGGCAGCACCAACCGCCATCGTACCACCTTCCCATTATCAGACTCCCATCTCCGATAGAGAAGTCCATTTCTCACAACCAACTGGTCCCATAACGACCAAAGTGTCTTACTACCTGCTTGGGTGTGGGACACTTCCTGCCAAGCTGGGCGACTGTCACAACTCTCTTTGGCTCTGATGAGCCAACCCATGCAATTGTCGGCCAACTGGGCCTCCCTTAACACTTCATTTGTCAAAGTCGACTGAGCCTCTATGCCCCTAGCCAGTGCCTCCTCTGGCTTGGCCTGGCTCCCAAAATCCTCATTGACCTCAGTTTTCTCAGCAGTGTCCTCACTTAGGCCACACTGCCTACAGGGCCGTCGAGACAGCCCATCAGCATTACCGTGTT